CCACAAGGATCTCATCTTGGGCCGTTACTCTTTAACCTTAATGTCAATAATATACGTAACTGCTTTAAATACGCGAAATTTATCATGTACGCTGACGATCTAAAAATGTATCATTCTATAACTTGCTTACTTGATAGGATTTTGTTTCAGCAAGATCTAGATAGATTTTGCGATTATTGTAGAAAACATAATTTGTTTTTGAGTGCATCTAAGTGTAGTTATATACAGTTTACTCGAAGTAACACTTATTTACATCATTAATGAATTTACACTTCAACCAGTGGATAAAGTAAAGGACTTGGATATAATTCTCGACTTCAAATTATTGTTTAATGAGCATATATATTATATCACTAGTAAAGCAAATAAAGCATTAGGCTTTATTTTAAGAACAAGTTACGAATTTAAAAATCCTCATACAATCAGAGCCTTATTTATGGCTTACGCTAATAGTGTACTCATGTTTAGATCAATAATTTGGAATCCTTTTTACTTAGTACATATAGATAAGTTACAATATGTTCAGAATAAATTTATTTCTTATTGCCATAAAAAATATTATCCTCAAATTAGAAAAAACAAAATTTTATCGAATTTAAATTTAATCAATCTAGAATCACGAAGACAAATTTCTGATATAATATTTATGCACAGAATACTTAATCGTCAAATAGACTGCATTGATTTAATTAATCTCCTTCAATTTAATTGTCCCAATTATAATACTGGAAATATTATTTTTTTCTTAACAAGGCAGTAACCAGCGACCATTTAAATGCTCCCCTCCGTAGAATATCAAAAACTTGTAATCAGTTGTCAAATATAGTTAACGTAGATATTTTCTTTCATAGTTTTATGTTCGTAAAGAAAGCACTGTTAAAATATTTTCTAAATCAAAATATGTAATCTCTCTTGTTGATAGTTTTTAGTCTTTATTTTTGAGTAGGTATTATTATAAATGATATGACTATTGTATAACTTTGTACTATATTATTGTATAATTTGGTGGACACTTTTTTGGGCTAGTCCTGTCTGTGTTCAGAATTAAATAAAATAAAATAAAAATAAAAAAAAAACATCCTGTAAATCCATAACTTATGAAACATCTGCCATATATAACATAATATTGTAGTTCATTCAACACCACACAAAGAAGTTCTAGAGAAGAAGATAAAACTTATCTTAGTATTTACATCAATATCACAGCTAGCAAAACTTCAGAGGAGCCAATAATACCAACGCCATTTAAACTTTGTTTTGGCCTGAGGAAAAAAATCTTATTCTGTTTTTATGGATGAAAAGCTATAATATAGTATTATTATTCTAACCAGATATTTGCCTAGACTTTAATTGATTATTTAGGTCTTGTTTGATTATAAGTTTTTCTTGTTGTAATAAAGAATTTATTTGTTTCAGCAACTGGACCTTCAATCAAGAAGAGCAGTGGGTAAGTTATAACATTAATTTCTAACTTACCGTTTTATAGATACCATCCAAATTTAATGAAAATAAAAACTAAAACTTCAACTAAAAATCTCAGTGTTCAAAAATTGTTCAAGAAATATTAATTTTTACAGAAGGTGAAATTGAATGTTCGTTTATTTGTATTGTATTATAGGGATGGAATGACTCAAAGACAAATATAAGAAATGAACAATAATGTACCGGTAATTGTATATTCGTCTTTATGTTAGAGTTAGGAAAAAGGATAAAGATAAACTTGAGTCAGGTCAGAAATTAAAATTTTGAAGATCTCGTTAAACTGTAAACACAACTCATTTAGTATTCTGCTATAAATAACTCGAAAACAATCATTTCTAATTCTAACAGAGACCCTGAAAATTGCTTATTATTTGCTTATATTATTTCTATGTTAAATTTTTCGAGTGTGACCAATTTGTTTCGACATATTTTTGACAATATGTATTTATTTTCTGGAAACAAATGGGAACATTTTGGCACCGATATTTGAATTTAAAAACGTTTTAACTTACATTTTTATTGTATACATTGATATTAAATTTAGATAATAAGTATTTATTATTCTTATATTTCGTATTTTGAAGTGCGGAATTAATGAATTAGCTCAGAATAAATTTATAACGTGTGGATAGTTGCTTCCAAGCTGTTTGTATATTATCAATAATGTTTTTACTACAAATATTTTAAATAATTTAGATGCCAAAAATATCCATAACTATAGGATAAAATTTCTAATATACCTACAGGGTGATCGATTTTGATTTTGACGGTGTCATATTTATTGAGTTGTCAACAAATGTACAAAGAAAAAAAAATAAGATAAAATCAATCCGATAATCAATATGATTTAGGAGATAATACTCGTAAGTGTAAAGATTGTCCAAATTTGACACGGGAGTTGAAGGTAGATTAATTTTGTAGATATTAAAAAACGGCCGATTTAATTTGGAGAGGGACATCTTTCAATCATTTTCTTAACCGTCATACATTATTACCTTCCCTTCTGTCACTAGAACCAATACAATTTAAAAAGGGAAAGTACCAATATTACATATTATTGAAATTTTTCTTTTATGGAGAATTTAGCAATATGACCTTTGTTTTGCGTTACTTATGTTTTCTGCGCCCTATAGAGGGATAGATAGATAGATATTTATTGATGTAAAATAAAATAAATATTTTACATGTGTCAATGTTAAAAGTATAAAGAAAAAAGATATATAGGTATAGATACAGAAAATACAGTTACAATTTAGAAAAATATAGACAAAAAATTATATAGATACACATAACATATTAAAACCTACTTTAAAAAAAAGATAAAATTAAAACGGTATATTCACCAAAAGGTTTATACATTACTCACATGCACAGATGAACACATGTGATAAGAATTCGTCAATGGAATAAAAGCAGTGACTGGACAAAAATTTGCGAATTCTTATTTTAAATAAATTAAAAGATGAGTTTTTATAAGCTTGAGATAGGGTATTGTTCAGTTTAATGCTGATATATCTATAAAAGTCATGAAGTTTGGTTAATCTGTAATTAGGTAAAGATATATCAATTTCCTCTGGTGCAATAAGAATGTTTAGTGCTCTGTCTTATAACATTATTACCAATTTGTTTTTCATGTATAAAAGACACTCTTAAATAAAACAACATGGTAGTGGTAAAATACCCAACTGTTTAAAAATAGGTTGGCAGTGACTATTGTAGCTACTCGATGTCATGATACGTACTACTTTTTGTTGTGCAATAAATACCCTGAGTTGGTTGCTTGTATTTCCCCAAAGTATAACGCCATACTTCATAATGCTATGAAATAATGAAAAGTAGACCATTTTTAAATGTACAATGTCTAATTGAAATGTTAGCTGTCTAATTGTATAAGTAACTTTTGCTAAACGACTTAGTAAACTTTGAATGTGATATTTAAAATCTAGTTTCGAGTCTAAATATATTCCTAAAAGTTTAACCTGTTCCTTACTTTTAACAATGATAGAAAATGACATTTGCTGTTTTTGCTTCGTTTAATGTAAAACCATTGCTACCAAACCAATTATTTGAAATAACTTCTGCTTCATTTAGCCTTTCTATTATATCAGATTTATTTTTATCTGTAGCAATATATGTTGAATTATTAGCATAATACACCTGGATGATATTACTTAAATTAATTGGCAAATCATTAAAGTAAATGATAAAAAGTAAGGGTCCGAGAACAAAACCCTGTGGAACTCAATACAGTACTGAATTCTTGTCCGAAGTATGCCCATCAATTTGAACATATTGAGTTCTTTTTTGCAAATAAGAGGTAATAAGCTGTAATGGTGTCCCTCTAAATCCATATCTCTCTAATTTTAATAAAAAAATGTCTTGTTGAACCGTATCGAACGCTCTCGTAAGATCATAAAATCTGGCAGTACTATGTGAACGATCCTCACAACCATCCGTAACAGCTTCATAGAGATCACATATTGCGTTAATTGTTGATTTGCTTGCCCTGTAACCGAATTTATTTTGGCTAAGCAACTTGTTGCTTTCAAAAAAATTCATAATTCGTTGTTTTAACACTATTTCAAAAATTTTGCATACTATTGGTATAATTGAGATAGGTGTGTAAGCAGATGGTGGATTTATGTCCCCTTTTTGGAAAACAGGGGTAACTCGTGATACTTTAAATTTATCTGGAAAAACTCCAGATTTCATGCACAAATTAATTAGGTTAGCAATGGGAGTGTCTAAAATATCAACAACTGATTTCAACAAAACTGCACTCAATCCATAAATATCCCTAGCTTAGTAAATAAATTGTCAACTCTTGTTCTACTTTTATCTGTTACCCTAGTATCTACAAACACTTGTTCATGTAATTCAAACGATAAAAAAATATTTCTACAATCATTAACAGCTCTGGTGTTTTCCTTGAAATTAAAATTAAAAACTGTTACGTATTGTAAAGTGTGACACTTCATTTGAAAGCCAATTTAATGCACAACATAACAAAATATAATTGAATAAAACATGAACTTATATAATTGAAAAATGTTGCAGAGCTCTAACGTTGAGAAATATAAATTTAATCGAAATCAATTAAAATAACAAATTTATATTACGCATCAACCTGTTAAAATTCGCACTCTGTATGTGGTAGCTATTACTCTACCGTAAATATATCAACAATAATCGATAGCCATTACGAAAATAGCTATTTTAGCAGCATAAATAGCGCCAAATTTATTCTGACTTACCTACTACTATTTATACCACCAAATTAGTGAAAAATAATTAATCAATACAAAACTAATATTTTATATGACCTACTACATAGAAATCGATACAGTCTGGGTCATATTAATTTTACTTTTAGTTTGAGTAACAAATTTAAAACATAATAAAATTGTTGTTTACTGTAAAAATTTGTATTTAATTTAAACAAACTACTCTTAATGAGTTAAGAGAAAGAAGTATATATCAAATGTAGTATATCCGTATAGGAAAATAAAAGCACTTACCCTAAAGTGGTCATTGTGACTATGGTATACCAAAATGCAGCTGGAATGGACGTAAAAGTTTTTCCAACATTCTTTTCGGCATAAAACATAACTGTGGCGAATATAATGATGGCCATAGCCAACGAGAACACAAGAAATCCTAACTCGGAAGCGCAAGATTTAAGTGTATAACCCAAAATCCGAAGACCCTGAGAATGTCTCGAAAATTTGAAAATTCTGAAAACTCTAAATACTCGTAGTGTAACAAACGCACCAGATACATCATCATTGTCTGTAATACCAAGTCCAATGTAATAGGGTAGTATGGCAACAACGTCTATGATACTCATCACTGATCTCACGAATTTGTAACGATTTGGTGCCGCGAACATCCTAAGAAGATATTCAGCCGTGAAGATCATAACACAGGCGGTATCTAGACAGAAAAACACTATCTTGTAACGCTCACCGCAGGGTAAAGAACCCGCTCCACCGGGTCGACTGCCACACGGTACTGTCTCGACTACATTTGCCATTACAGACACTGCTATAAAGAAACCAGTTACATAGTAGAACACTAAAGCTGCTGTCGATGTATGCGGATTTTCAAAAGCCCTCCACATCTTCTGCCTAAGATTCGTTAATTGCTGTAAATGCTGATCACCGTTCTCCGAAAGCTTATCGTCCATCAACCGTTCCGCATTCTCACGTTTTCTGTCTCTGTAATCTTCGTAACAGCAATCCCCAATTACGTCGGGAAGTATGCCGAAGAACGCTAGCTCTTCATCGTAGCTGGTAAGACATTCGTGCTTGGGATAATGTAGTTTACCTGTACGGTAGTAGTTGAGGATGTGTCTGAAGATGTCAGGATCTCTGTCGAAGAAATACTCTTTAACGTCTTCATCGTAGAAGAATTCCCGCTCGTTGGAGCCCAGAAGAGTGTCTGGATATTTTTCTAGAGTGTTTCTCCAGGTTTCGAAGCGACGACCGGAGACGTTGATGAGCAACTTCTCGTCATCTGTTTTCCTGCGGTCTTTGGGAACTGGAGGCGGTGGAAGAGGATGCGTGGCGATGGGCACCCATCCTATGGCCGCCGCCCGCGCGAATGGCAGCCAAGCGGCGACCGAGGCCATACTATGTGGAGGAATGTTCGTCAGCTATTGTCGAGGATGTCTTTTGAATTATTTACTGTACACCGTTCACACTGCAGATTTATATCGATTCACCAATCACAACTAACCGCACATAAACTAAAAGAAACTGAAAACCAAATCCAGGCGATGTCGATTTAGGATAGGATTATCGTCCTCGGGGGCTGGATCTGTTAAGTGACAGGCTGCAATCTGCATCCAGATGTAGGTGTCAACCGAAACATGCTTCCCGTGTACTGATACATCGGCGGCAGGCGAGTAAACGTGGAGTAAACATGGACAAGCGTGCGCGATTTTAAATCATCGTTTCAATTTTCAGCATTTTTCGAGAATCTGGAGCACTGTAACGCTACCACAGCGCCAACGGTGTAAACGGGGACAAGGGAGATGAGAGTCGGGAATTGAGGGAGGAGAGCAGAGAGTGTGCTTCAGAAATGTTCAGGCGAGAGCCGATCGTTCTCGATTTGTCTCGTTTGCGTTCGTGCGGGGTTTAAGGCTCAACCGTATGGACGCTGGCGCTTTGATGTTGGACCAGCAAAATGGAAAGAGTGGCCAGTTTTATATTAAAATTTAATCAATTCCGGCGTGAATTGTTTGAATTTATTCTTCCTCATTTATGCCATTTTTTTTATTTGGCATATTCTTTTTTAGTTGGTATGTTATTTATTTATATCTGTAACATGAGGAGAGGGGCCTCACAGCATTTATGCCTCACTAGGGCCATTATGCATCCTCCTGAATTGATAGACACCTCTTAGTCTGTCAGCCAGTCTACAGATTTGATGTAGTTGACAACGCCCTCCGGCGTGTAAACTGCTTGGGTAATACAAGTTTCTGTACTCCTTCTACCCTTTGCTGCCTCGTCTTCGCTCTATATACTCGCTTCTGTCTCTTCGTCTGTCTTTTAATTTAAAATTAAACTGTCTCTTCTTACCTTTTTCTACGTATTCTGCCATTCTTTCAAACTCCTCTGACAATTCTTAATGAACAATAATCAAACATTCCTATAACAACTTTCTTCTTAACTATCTTAGTATGAGAGCCCACTGTAAATTTCGACCGTCATCTAATAACGAAATGAAATATGCTCCAAAGGCATGTAACAACATTGTACTTTACCAAATTGCACCTGAGCAAAGTGGCTAAAAAAAATTATTTTATATTCAAAAAATCACATAAGACATGATAGGGACAATTGTAATTTCCCTGAAAATTACAATCCTAATTCATTGTGAACCTAGCTTTTAAACCTGAATTATTAATATGTTTACCTACCATTTAAACCATATTTATGTATGAGTATGAAAGGAAGAAGGATGGCATTGTATAAACCATTTGCAGAGATAGTCAATAATAATTATAAATTCATGTTAGACAATTATTTTAAACCATAATCATAGTAGTTTTTTGTCGTTTCTATGGCAACCTGTAAAAATGAATCACAAAAATAGGCATACAAATACATTTTTAAATCAGCAAACATTGATTCATTTTTTTAATGATTTTTACCTACTAATCGTGGATAGAAGTTTTTGTGCGATGTCAAGAGAAAGAAAATGTTTCCCTTTAACGATATATATCAAGATATATTTGAATGTAATTTTCTGGAAAACTTTAAGGACAAACAAAACTAGCGCTGTCATGCCATTTTTTTAAGTCACTTTGCTCAGAATTGGGATTGGCACAGGTGCCATTTGGTAAAGTACAATGTTTTTCCATGCTTTTGGAGAATATTTCATTTCGTTATCAGATGACGGTAAAAATTTGCAGTGGGATCTTGGGCTATCTTGATTTCATATATTTTCATAATATTCAATATCTTAACCACCCTAGTATTGCTAATCATAATTTTAATAAAAAAATGTAGCGCCCTTCAGAAATTTCCATATTTATAATATCGGCATAGCTGCACAAAATACGTTTGATGTTCTGTTGTATAGCTTACATATTAATCTTTTACATTTCAAATAGTGCTCTAATGTTCTTAAATTATTTTTGTAACTTTATCATCACTTTTCAGTGGATACAGTTAAGCCGAAAGGTTAGCTTCAACATTATTCAGTTGAGCCTAAATCACTCCCAAAGAAGGGTTGCGATTGAAAGACATCGTCGAGAATATCAAGTGCTAAACTTTTATTGTTCATGTTGTTTTAATAACTAAAGAGACAGAGCTTATATTATGTTGAAAACAATATTGTATGTACTTACTTTGAATGATTTATTGCCCATCGAATTGTTAAGAGCGTATTAAGAGGATACAAAATTGGTTGTTTTTACAATTGGGCATATTCGACGATGATGAATACGACATAAGTAAAATTGGGAAAATTAAAGTATCTAGGACTTCTAGGGTAGGCCTGCACAACATACGGCCCGTGGGCCGTTGACCAGTTTGGCCCGCCTATATCAAACTATACATTATACAGTAACGAACTTGCATTTAGGTTTTTTTAGAAGCTCGACCCAGCAGGAGTTGGTGTAGAAATTATAAGCTGATGACCTTTTTTTTTAGAAAAGCTTGGCAGAATTATAACGTGTTTTTTTAGAATCCGAACAGACAACTATAAGGCCGGCCCTCGTACACTTAGGTTTCTCAAACTGGCCCTTTGAAAATCAGAGTTGTGTAGGCCTGCTCTAGGGTATCTTCCGCATGTATGTTCGATAGTCTCATTTACTTGTTTCCACTACCAATGACTGGTTAAAATAACTGTGATCAGACGCAGATTATGTCTAGTAGTTTGTTAAAAAGAACCTATAGAAAACAAACTTATAGTATAACACAATAGAGATGAATGGAGATCTAGTCAGAAATAATTTCAACAAATAGGACAAACATGGAATGAAGGAACATGAATACCCAACAGAAGAGAATAGCACTAACAGATTTGTCTAAGACTGATCTGCCCTTTCCTCCAACCCTATTCGAGACTGGCCACAACATATGTGTCCATGAGTTGAGTATGTAACAAGCGATTATCGGTGTCTCCATCTACGAACGCGGAACGGAGCCTTCCTGGACTGTTTGATCGATTTTTCAGATTAATTGCCATCCACAGGCCAACTTGTTAGTTGATGATGGCCCTACAGCAATAACAGTTAAAAGCCTTTTGACTTTTACCTTGATTTTATCCAATACATTTACTCACCCTTCATAAAACCATCATCAACCAACATAATGCTGGGCCTCTATCGAAAGGCCAAAAGTAGGCTTCAATCTTTTAATCGTCGCATTCATTTTCCTTTTATTTACGCCAAAAGGACAACAATATACATCCGGGCATTGTTTGTTAGGATTCTTAAACCTCACATAGAATGTATTTTCTAAAGTTTTATGGGGAAGAAATTTTAAATTCATAGAATGTTTTGTACTCGTTGAGATAGTACAACTTGTTCACCCCCTCCATTGCACCCAACTACAAAGAGCGAGCAAAAAAGTGACATGACAGTTTTTGCAGTCAGCTGAAGAATTATAACTCTGAACAGGCCAATTCGGTGCCACTGTGCGCCATGCGCTTTTTCTAGACCTCTCAAGGGCCGTCGAAAGTTTTGAAAAGCGAAGGCGACGTGCGACGCGGCTCTCCGATTTCCGACGTCGCGTCGGCGGTGCTACGAGCGCGCTTCAAAATTCAACGTTTGCGCATTTGCACGACATGTGTTACTACAGTCCATACACGAGACGCATAAGACGCACGCCTCTTTTCATCGATTCAATCGAGTGCATTGCGTCTAAAATTGCCGAATGCAAACCTCACTTGGAATACTTTTTCACTCTTTCTCTTTTTCCGCTTTTACTTATACCGGGTAACAAAAAAATTAATGACAGGAGAAACCCAGGAAAGCTACCGAAAAAAGTTGTAGTCAACAGAGTAAATAATATTTATTTATTATTTACTAGCTATTGCCCGTGTTTTTAATATAAAAAAATGTATGACTGCCCAAAAAAAGCGATAATACGTTTTTTTGGGGTTCATGTTATGTATGTGATATTATAGATTAAAGTAGAGTAATATAATTAAGAATCTCTTTGTATACCACGTTTCTGGTAATATCACCAAATTGCTTGCGGAACTAACTCTCTAACTGGCAACATAAAACTGTCCATGAGAAAAGTAGTCCTTCGTTAGGCTGTCGAGGTGTCGAAACATCAAGATATGCCGTTTTTATCAATTTATTCCTCATACTTTTCAAGCCAGAAGTTTCACTTATTTGTTTTTAATTATTTTTAATATTTATTTTTATTTATTGTTGTTTATTTTTGTTTATTGTTATTTATTATTAAATAATAAAGCCAAATTCTCCATTCCCAAAAAGAAAAAGGCTAAAAAAGTTCTTCTTTAATGCGTACAACAGATATCGAAATAAAAAAATCTATAGAATCTTTAAAAAATTAAAAATCTCCTGGCATTGACGGCGTTAAGATTGAAACCGTTAAAGCTATTTCAGATGAGATAACTCCCCTTTTAACATACTTAATAAATGAAATTTTTATACAAGGGAAGATACCAATTCAATTTAAAAATGCATCTATTATTCCGGTGTTCAAAAAAGGAGACAAATCTTTACTAACCTATCTTATTAATAACTTCCTATGCAAAGATATTTGAAAAAGTTTTAAATAAAAGATTAACTGATTATCTTAAAAAATATTACATTATTTCCCAGTCTCAGTTTGGCTTTCGAACAGGTTTATCCACTAACGACGCCATTACAGAACTGACAAGAAAAAAACCATGTTTATGTGTATTCCTGGACCTAACTAAGGCATTTGACATTGCCTTGGAGGATATATAGATACGGGGTAAAACGTTAGATATATTTGAAAATTATCTGTTTGATCGTCATCAAGTCGTTAAAATTAAGTTAGAAATAAGTGGATCGAGAACTTTCAAATTTGGAGTGCCTCGGGGAACTATACACTTGGGCCTACTCCTTTTTCATTATATATAAACGATTTATTTTCTATTCAGTCACAGGAACAAATCATTAGCTTTGCGGACGATACAGTAATAATATTTGAAGCTGAAACATGGAACGATTTAAAACAAAAAGTAGAAACAGATATTAAGTGTATAATGGATTGGTTTAACCATAAACAACTAACAATTAATTTCGACAAGACTTTTTTCTTCCTTTTACAAGCTATGAAAGAAATTTACCTACACAAAACAATTGAATTAAAATATAACAATATAAATGAAAAACAATTTAATATATCTGGGAGTTACTATTGATTCACATTTGAGATGGGACAAGCATAATGATAATTGTCACTAACACTCTAAGATTACTATTATTCAAATTTAAATATTTAAAAAAATTCTAAGCATAACTCATCTTAGAATAATATACTTCGCTTTGATCCAAAGTCGTATTCACTATGCAATAATGTATTGGGGAGCTACAACAAAAATTAGATATTTTACAAAAAAGAATTTTAAAAATCATACATAACAAAAATATTCGTTTCCCGTCAGGCTTACTATATGAAGAGATAAAAATATTTAATATTCGAAATCTTTATATCTACATCGTTATTATTTATACTTACAAAAATAAACACTTTCTCTGTGGAATCAAACCTATTACACCAGACGTAAACAAAAAGGTCTTGTACAAATTCCCCAAATTAATAAAAGTATTGGTCAAAGACATTACGTTTATTTAAGTAGTAAAATCTTCAATCTTCTTCCGGATATGTATAGAACTTATTTAACAACTATAAACTCGATAAATTTATTAAAAAAATATATTAAAAAATTTATTCTAAATACAGACATTAATTATTTTTCGGAAATATTTAATTAAATTATAGTAAAATTGATTCAATTATCATAGCATATATAAATGTTTTTAAGCTAAATTACAGAACCCTGTAGATTGCTAGGTTCTATTTTATATTAATTATTATTGTTGTTTCTAGGATTATTGTTATTATGGTTAGTATTGTCATTGTTATCATAGTTATTGTTACTATGACAATTAAATTATTACTATTTTTTGTATTATTAATATTATTCTTATTTTTATTATTGTTAGTATTTATTATTATTATAATTTTTATAATTATTGTTATTTTCATCACTATTATTATTGTTATTATTTTAGTTATGCTCTCAGTTCATTCAATATATTTTAATGTATAAAATTGAATCTTTTTAAAACACGTATCCAAATTGTAATTAACATTTAAATTAAAATAAGTAAACAATTTAAAATTTAAAATATAACTAGGTATCGTTATTTTTCTATGGGTACAGTCATTAAAATGTAAAATCAGCCACCCACGCGCATCCCCGAGGGACTTAGGGTTACACTGTTTGTTCAACCATCAAATTAATGATTAGATTTTAAATTATTATATTATTAATATTGCTAACTGTAATGTGTGTTGAATAAACGATATTATTATTATTATTTATTTTTATGTAAGTACTTTTATTTATTTTTGTGTATTTTTATTTATGAAAAATATGTTCAGTGGCCACTGAACATTTTCCAATACGTTTTGCACAAGTGCATGATAAAAATTAGGGAGAGTTAGCATTAGTACGAGCAGGAAACGAATATCAGCGATGTCAGTTTATACGGCCACATTGTAACGTTGGCTGGGCCGTACAAACTGACAATGCTGATATTATTCGTTTCATGCTCGCTCTAATGCAAACTCTCTGTAGTTTTTAAACGCACTTGTACAAACCGTATTGGAAAGAGTTCGATAGCCGATACTGTATATTATTGTATATATTATATGAACAAATATTATTGTTCATAAATAATTAATTAAAAGATTTTAATATAATTAACTTTGTAAACGATAATAAGCATATGCCTTCATAGTTGACGTAACGTTAACCTATATTTTACAGATATGTACGCCCACTCTCTACAGGATATCTCGAAAACGGTTACTGATATCAAAATTTTGCCAATCACAAAAATTGTGTAGAATTTTATATACTGCAAATTTCGTAATAACTTTGAACAGATTTTACGCATAGGAAAAGAGAAATTTGCAAAAAAAACGATTTTCTCTGACATATCTTAAGACGTGTACATGTGATTATATGTGACTCTTCACAGTGTTTAGAAGGCTAAAAGAAAGGTCTATATTCAGCTTATTGTTTCTCATTCCGAGATTTGGAATGTTATTGTAATACAGGGTGTAACAAAAAGATGTACAGTAAATTTAACAACAGTTTCTGGGGTCGAAAATAAGTCGATTTAAGCTAACTTGCTTACATAAAAAAAGTATAGTAAAAAAAGTTACAGGGTGTTAAAAGTTGAAATTATATAAGTGATTTTGTGCTCTTACTCTAAAACGACTTAACATATTTTTATAAAAATGTACATGTGATATTAGTATACAGTGACTAATAAAATGGAATTAGTGGCTTTTAAAATTGTTTTAATTCTATAAATTTTTAGAAGGGATCCGCAACCTTTGGACCCCCTCTTTTTTAGTCAATGAAATTCAGTTGAAAACAGGACACCACTGAGATCCTACATCTGTTTTGATTTTTTTGTCTTTTAGTATTTGTAAAAGCACTAATTATAGGCACCTAACGGAAGGTAGTAATGAAAAAATATCCACAATAAAATTTTTATGTTAATCTTAATCCAATGATTTTTTTACTACTTTATTTACAATTATTCCCTTGAATTATCGAGCATTCATAAAGTTGCAAAATAGTAAAAAAAAAACTTAACAAATAAACAGTGATTTACGATCAATAGAACAATTTTATTGTATTTTTCACTGTGACCTTCCTTTAGGGGCCTGTAACTCAGTAATTAAGATTTTCACAAACAAATACTAAGAGACAAAACAGATGTAGGATTTCAGTGGCGTTCTATTTTTAACTGAATTTCATTGTCTAAAAAAGAAGGGGGTCAAAGGGGTGCAGAACCCTTTTAAAAATCTATAGAATTAAAACAATTTTAAATGACACCAACTCCATTTTAAGAGTCACTGTGTATACTAACATACCATGTACACTTTCTATTTGTCAAGGCGTTTTAGAGTAAGAGCACAAAATCACTTTTAAAATTTCAACTTTAAACAACTTTTATACTATCCATTTTTTATATAAGCAGGTTAGCTCAAATCGACTTATTTGCAAACCCAGAAATTAAGGTTACATTTACTGTACATCTTTTTGTTACTCTCTGTATAAAATTTCAATGCACACAAATAATGAACTGGAAGGTCGTAGTTCAATAGGTAGCCAAGATATTTAACACAGTTACTGATTAGTTTTTGTAGTTAAATTGAACCCAAAATGTTATTCTGCCCTTACTAATAATTTCTTCATGATTTGACTGCAAAAAGAAACAATTCCTATTTATATAAAATGTTTACTCAATTTAATGTCAATAGAACGTTCTTATAAAGTACTACATAATTTAGTGTAAAATTAAAAAAATAGTATACAAATTTATCTTAAATTAGGAATCTTACAAGGTCAACTCCACATTATTAATTTTAATTTAATTTACAATCAACTCAGTTAATTATAACCAGATAGGCATTTTAATAAGAGTTATTATAAACTATAATATACCTTAGCAATTAGGAAGGCTTCGAAAATTGTGAAAATAAGGCATTATGAAAATGAGTGATAATAAGACTAGATTTTACAAAAAATTGCTAATCTATAATGATACACAATTAAACCTAAAAAATTCAAAGTAGGCTCCAAGAAATACATTAATGACTAGATGTGATAGAAGTCTTATTGTCACCTAAAACATTATTGGAGGCAGGCAGACCATGATGATTAACATGTAATAAATTTATTTATTAGAGAAATATATACAAAAAAAATCAATATTGAAATATTTTATTCATTTGACCAAAAAAATTAAATTTTCTATCAAAACTATTTTTTATCTGAGAAAAATTGTTTCGATGTAATCATATCAGCTCAAGAATGTCTATATATTTCAAAATATGTCAAGACACTTGTGTTTGCTGAGGTAAAAAACAACATTCCCAGAGAATTTGGTGAATTATTCTCTAATTATAATTGGGTGACAAATACTGAAAACAATTTGAATTAAAATTTGAATAACCTGCCTTAATTAGGGATAAAAAACAGTATAAAGTTAAATCAACTAATAAAACTGACAATTCTACAATGTACCTAAAGCTTAATTAAGTTTTCAACAATAACATCAGTACTATTAGTATCATCACTATTTTTCAATGCATAACTATCACTTTCACTAAATGAATCTATGTCAATATGACTGTAAAAAGTCGCTTGAGTTTCCTTCATTTTTGTTTGCTTAATTTCTTCACATTTCACTACACAATTTTTACTTTTAATATACTCCAATATAGGATCTTTTCCAGTCCGCATACTAATTTTGGTTTTTAATATAACATACTGAGACCTCCAGTATTCATAGGACGCTATTTTCAACGCAGCCACCCATTTACTTACATCTGTATCACATCGACAAGAAAAAATATGTTTTGCTTCCTCATCTCCACATCTTTCATTGACTTTGAATGTGAGGGAAAACGCGAACGGTATACCTTTGTGAGGGCGTTCATAAGAAACTTGAGCGTTTTCTATTATCAAAATACCTATTGGTTCCTCCTCTCCCAGTCGATAATAAAATAAAATATTCGATATTAGTTTGAAATATCTTTCTTTGAAAGAAGGACGTTGATACCAGTCAGACCAATCATTTCCAATTGGTTTCATGTGATGTAAGATTCCTTCTAAATCTGCTTTATTCTCGCCAAATTTTACCAATTCTCTATCATTATATTTCATCTTTTTTTCGTTTTATTTGCTGTATGTAATTTGAAAGCACTATGTTTACTCTAAATTTATAATTGGATTTTGGTTAATTGTTGTCATCTGTCATATGTCATAATGAAATGTCATGTAAAAAAAAAATTGTGTCCTAAAAGTTCAGCCTCTTCGGTTCCATTAGAGGATTTTAAATATACCCAAGCCTAATTAAAACTAATCATTATAGTGGCACTAAGAATTTTTAATATTGTATTCTGAATTTTGATGTAGACGATTCTACTTAATATTTTCAGAGTGACTTGCTGATAACGTTACTGTAAAATAGAGAGCCACACACAATACACTAGTAGTGTAATAAAGGTTGTCTATATGCCTTTACTTTCCTGCATTAGTTAGTCAGCAGCCATTTCTTGTCCAAAGATAAAATTAAACATATTTGATAATAAATAATACGAGATTTTTATTAAGACTTTATGAGAAACTTATTCTTATAGTAAAAGTGTCTGCTTTTTAAACTCCAAATTCTTATCTTATCTAAATCTTATCGTTTACAGCGTAAACCCGAAAATCAATGAGAAATTGCAGAATAAATTGGCGATAAACTGGAAAACTCTTCAACGCTGGAGTTGTTAATTTAATTAAAAGGAAACGATTTCTTTACAAAAATGTTATGCTTTTGTCGTAATCTTATCTTATATCAAACTATGTATTTTTCCTAAATAAAATTTGTTATAAGTACCATCCCATCTGTTGGCGAATAGCTAAAACTAAATGTTTTACGCTATTTACTAATAGATGGGTTTTCTAAATATTATAGGTTTCTATTCTGTTATGATTCGTGTGTAGTTCTTGACATGTGTCAAGTCTGGTGTATTTAAAAAATGTAAAAAATGAAAACAAATAGTATCACTGGTGCTTCCGGGAATTTAATTAATTAATTAATATTGTACACCACAGTCTCTCTCAAGAATCATTTATTAATTTGTGATTATTCCAGTTTCTTCCATTTATATGTATATAAATAAATATGAAGTCAAAATTTATATTTGTAATATTACTTTTAATAACCTTTAAAGGTAAGTAATTTAACGTATTTTTAGCATTTTAGTAATAAAGGCGAGTTTTATTTAGGAAAAGAATTAAACGGACTTCGTTGTTATGTCTGCTCGGACGATGGTACTGTTCCATGTTTGAATTTTGATTCAGAAAAGGGAAAATTTATACAACAATGCGATCGCTCACAAAAAGGATGTTTCCTGAAGATTGAAGGTGAGTTTAATTTTAATATCTCGCTTTATTGGTCTCTCTGCGTGTATTAATTCTAATTGTTGACGTTAATTATTTAGATCAATAAATAATCCTATTAAGAACCTACAATTTTGGGCAATTTAAATTTGTCGCAACTTTTTTATTATACCTACATTAAAAATTTAGGGAACATGTTTATAAAATTTTATTACTTTGATGAATGGTAAAAACCAGATTTTTTGACATATTTCAATCAATGTGTCTTCATCTCTTAATGATTAAATTATGGAATGTTAAATATTCTACTCACTACACAAGTTATTTATAATACCGTTTAAGTTTACAGCAAAAATCTTCTATACATCTTTAAAAGTATTTTATTTAAGGTAATAATAAAACAAGATCATGTGTGGATAAAAAACTCGACGATTGCAAAATGGCAAATGAAGTGGAATACTGTTTCTGTTCCTCAGAATTGTGTAACACTAGTACCAACAAGTTGTCAGATATTACAGATGATGAAGATTTAATTGAAGGCAGTGGCACAAAAATAGCCTTTGATAATACCAAAGTAACAGAAAATAACCATAAACCAAAGCAAAACACAACAGTTGTTCTTGTTCGGTCATCAGATGTTAGAAATGTGGTTTGTTTATATCTAGCATATTTTTTGGTCACCTCTACTTTGTTGTTTTAAAGAGTATTGTAAGAAGTTAAGATAGCTGTTACATTTTGAAAATAATTGCAGTTCAATTGTGCTTAGAAAATGTAATTAAATATCTTTGTCTAACAGCTACCTTAAAATTAAAACAACTGGATCAATTCTGGCCAACAATTACTGAAGTATTACTAAATCAGTATTAATCATTTACAAAATGCTTTTCTGTTATTTGTTTATAAAAGACATCAACTTCTTTTCATTCCTATTTACATGTTTCAATTGAATACATTTAAATAAGACTGGCAGCTCACAACTTTTTAGTGAGAAAGTACCTTTTTGATTATTGAAAATGTGTAAAACAGTGGGAATTTATATTTTTATTAAAAGTCTTGTTTCAAATTAACTGAAAAAGTACATAATATATTGAAGATTTGAAACAAGACTGGTTTTGTAAACTGTTAAGCTCAAATGCTATTTTTAATTTTTGAATATTTTCCATGATAAACATTCGAGTTTGAAAATGCCTTTCAAATAGGGTATCACATTATAATTTATTTTTTTGTCAGGATTCTATGTGAGATATCATTCAAAACTCTGACATCTCAATTAGTACTTTTACATTCAACTGTGCCCCTCTTGTTAAAACACCATTTTTCTAAACAGCTTATTATATTGACACATATCTAATATGTAAAGCTCAATTATATTTCATAAATATATCTGATAATATTGCCTGCCCAACAATTGGATGATATCCCGATTTGTGGTTTTTGAAATTTTACTCATACATTTTTTACAATTTAAATGTGTACAAATATCTTTATATTAGTCTAAGATCCTGACTTAAATTGACCTTCACAGATCCTTTTTCCAAATTATATGTAGAATATTTTATCAGCTTAACTGTTTATACCTGCCAACCCCATATTAGGGCAAGGAAAAAGGTAGCCAACCCTACTTTGGCGTTTTATTTACTTTTATTCTCGATTGGTATTAAATTTTTCGAAAAATGTTTTTCTGTAACTATCAGTAAAAATGTAATTAAATTATTAATAAAAAATAGCCTGGACCCTGGCACGTTGTGTTTATTTATAAAATATATATGTATTTAATTGGGAAAAAGGATTAAAGAAGGTCGATTTAAGTCAAGATCTTGTACTACATGTATCCATGCGCAATGCATTACTCAAAACTACAAACTCCTCTGAACTATCATATTTTTAGTATTATGCACCTTGGATATAACATTATTATAATTCAAAATACTCTTAAACGATATTGTGGCTGTTTTTTTTTTTGTATTTCAAAATGTTATTCTTTTGAATAACCGTTGTTTTCGTTTTTTTGTTCCTAATATTCTTTGTATGGAGTATTCTATGAAATTTATTTTTCATACTAAATTATATAATTAAGTATTAAATTCTTTAGAAAGAGTTTATATAAAAAATTTATATTTTTATATATTTTAACGCCAAAGACGTATTTTTTGCAATTTTTACTGTGCAATATTAAATATTTTAGCATTTGTTGTAATATTAATATTATATGAGATTAATAGATTGTAAGGCTTTTGCTAAATATGAAGTATTAACATTTTTCTAGTCAACAAAAAAGCAAACGCGTCTTGTAACTACAAATTTAAATTAATTTAGTTATATTTAGATTTTTCATTGACCAAAAATTGTTAAATTTTAGCGGCCAAACAAACTTTTTGTTTGTTGAATCAAATGAGACATAAACTTTGTTGTAATCACTTACCAAAGACCTAAAATTGAGAAAAGAACGTTTTCATGCAGCAGACAAATTCAATCGGTTATTTGCTTGCATGGGCGGTGCCAGTGGGGGTAAAAGGGGCAAAGGACTTCGCACTTTCTCAGCTGCGCTCAAGTTTACTTGAATGCGATCAGTATGATTATAACTTTGACTATGTTTGCTGACAATTACTGAAAATGTTCTATCATATTTATAAACAGAGTTACACTGGAATTTAGAGATGGGCAATACAAAATTTGTTACTGTCCATCTCTAAATTCCCATGATATAACTGAACTTCTATTATTCGTTCAAACACGTGCTCAGTCAATTTATAAATATGAACCTTAATGCATGTTCCTATGGCGCGACTTAAAAGTGCTAAGTCTAGAACCCCTGCTGGCTCTAATGGTTCCTTGGAGGTTCTTAAGTCACTAGAAGAAAATTCCGTATACTATACAGTGTCTGCTAATGAACACTTTCCAATACGTTTTGCTAATGTTGAAGTGAAAACTACAGATAGTTAGCAATTAGGGCAAGAAGGAAACGAATATCAACGTTGCCGTGTGCGCTGTGAGTAGGCACACAGCGAGATATATCGCCACGCGGCTGGACATTAACAAAAGCGTATTGGAAAGCGTTCAATAGCCGACACTGTATAATACTTCTTACTTAATAAACATAATTGTTTCCATTTGGTTCTACAAAAAAAATATATACAAGACCAGAAACTACAAAATGTGTTTGTGTAGTTTCGGTTAAGTGCTTAAGATGAGTGCATGCTTGTAGAATGCATCAAGACATTGCATCACATTGTTACTGGTGACTGAATTTAGTGTAGTAAACATAATAGCGATTCTTATGATGAGTTATGGCGTCCAAGTTATCTCTAAAACTTCTTTAGCTCAATACTGGTTAGTAGGTTAAATTCAACTAGTACCACTGAATTCAAATCTGAAACATTCGTCAAAATATTTGTTGATACACTGGACTTAATTTTGTTAAAGCGCTCAAAGTTACATATACGGATTTAGACTCTTGTTGGTAACAAACCTCACATAGAGTATATAGAGGTATTTGAAGATTTGAGAACGAGCCTCAAACGGCGCTTGGCCCGAATTAGCACAGATTGCCGTCTAGGAATCTCGACAGTCAATGTCGTTTGGGTTCGAATCCAATGGCGACAGGCTTTTTTTCAAATCTCTAAGTATGTTTTCACCTTTGGGGTTCAGAATTGTTTTAGATTTGTTTCTGAATTTTCAAATTATTTTACAACTCATTTTAGATAATTCTGACCTTTCGGATGTCGATTTGCGATCTACGATATAAATTTTCAATCTCAGTTAAGTCTAGAGATTAACTTTCATCAGTAGCTCGATGTATTTCTGTTCTGTTTTAATTTTAGTCTGGTCTATAACCATGACAATAGACAATAAGACATATTCAAATATATATTTCAAATAATTTAAAAGTGAAAGTAACCAGTTCACTCTAAAAAATATCCACAATTTAAATACACAATTAGTCGTAGGATAATTGTGAGCCAATTACAGAAAACTCCAACTTCACGAAACATTTTTGGCTGAATTGAAAAAATTATAGGTTATTATTTGCTAAACACAAGACTAACCATGGTTTGCTCTGGTTTAGATGTCAAAGTAATAAAGTTCGGGGCTAAAATTTTGGAGTGACTACAAAGGCAACCTTAGTTATTGAATCCTGCCATGTGGCGTTGCCAGATCTACTCTACAAAAAAATCGAAAAGGTGAGCTTAAGTGTCTCCCTATCTACTTCGTTGGCCGTCAACACGTTATCTAAGGGATCTGTCGATCTGGAAGGCAAACTGGAAAAGTAGTGGTGCATTTTTTGTCAAGTTTATGGTTAATCATCGGACGTACTTACTATCGATTTGTGCAGTATTGCCAGATCTTCTATATAAATTTCTCCAGGTCTGAGAAAACCGAAAAAGTGGGCTCAAGTCTCTACCTATCTACTCAGCTGGGCTTCAACGTTATCCGTCTAAGGGATTTATTGATCTGGACGGCATACTAGAAAAGCGGTGTAGCATTTTTGTCAAGTTAGCGAACTTACTTACCATTAATCCATGCGGTGCGGTATTGCCAGATCTACTTCCCCAGATCTGAGGAAAAATCGAACTGGGCTCAAGTGTCAAATAAAAGAGGAATGATTCCTCTGTAACAATAACTAGGGTTGCTAATGTTCGCACTCACTTCAAAATATATAGCACCGAAGTTAGTTCTTATTTTGATGTCTGAGTAAAACCAAAGCAAACCATGCTTGGTCTGGTGTTAAGCAATTAATAACCCATAATTTTTTTTAATTCAGACTAAAATAATATGTCCAAATCTTGTTTAGATTCTAGCAACGACGTCATGACTTTAAATCGCTCGAATTTGCTTATAATTGTGCATCTAGTCTATTTTGTGGTTCATTGAATTTTAACTGAAATTTGTGAATATATTCTTGTACAATTATTTGTAATAAATGATTTAATGACTAATATTTTTTTTATATATTCGATTCCTTACAGGGTGCATCACGATAAAAGAATTTCAAGAAACAATTTATATTTAATAGAAACTTATATAATACACTATTCTTTGTATAAAATATAAAAACGATATATTACTAGTTATCTACCTACATATATAATCGTAATACAATTGTGGCATTACATCATCAACAATTACTTTTTAAGTGAAAATATCTATATAACTGTTAAATTTAATAATTCCAAATTCACAATATAATAACAAGACAAGCAATGAAACAAACAAAACATGTATTGTTCGAAATAATGACTCAACAATGAACACAGTGGTGTTTTAAACTTTTGAGATTCACTATAATACTCACATGAGAAATTTTAAGGCTAGTTTACAATCAAAAACAGTAATAACTTACATAATATACAGTTTTAGAATTTTTTTCGTTGCAGTTTTTCAATCGACAGCTACTAAAAACTGTTGATCGTTTGGTTAAATTGCTATTTATTTTCTTTTGTTTAAACCATTTTAGACAAAACTAGACTGCCTATCAACCATTTGCGCTCTGACAATACAGACAGTCTTTTTATAAGTGGATACTTAAGTGGCAAGAAGGAGAGGCCACAGAACAATTTTTCAAAGAAATACAAGAGCCAATTCAAAACAACAATAGAATACCCCCAAATAACGTTAGTTTTTTGTACATAATCTTCATGCTTTTACATTTTTCATTGTCAAAATGTATTCAGCAAATTTTATTTAATATCAAAAATGTTCAGAGTGCAAACAGTTTTAGTATAGTCAACTACAGCTAATAATAATTATTGTATGTTCTATTTTTCAAGAAGTTTAGTCTAAATACTGTATGGCATGGCTTTTACTTCCATTTTCCTTTATTTGAGCTTATTCAACGAAATGGTGAATGTATAATACAATTAGTGTAAAATTTATGTGACTTAAAAACGAATAAAACTGAGGTGATGTTTAAAACAATCTACAAAGTGCCTATTAATAGATAGAAACGTTATGAAAAATCCTAGATTCAATTTATTCCAGTGCATTTAACAAAATTGAAACCCTTGTTTGATTTCTTATTACATTTCTAGGACAATAACGCATTATTTTTAAGATTTTTTTTTTAAGTAGACCTCATTAAGATTAAAGTTACAATACAAATAGTCATGATTTTGAGATTCTTAAAATATCACAAACCCATTTTCAGTTTGATAAAAATCGAATGTCAAAACACTTAATAATTTTTTTAACTGTCTTTGAGGCTGAAAATATTTCTAAATATTTCTAACCCCTCTAAGTTATGTATGGAGGACAAATTATGCAATCTGGATAAAACAGCAATTTTATCCTTTAAAACCTTTTAAGAAGAGTGACAGTCTAAACTAAGTAATGAAGTCTATAATTTCTTTATTCTTCTTCAATATTCAGTGCTGGCAAGATCAAACCTTCGTTCCTGCTTTGCTTGTGTTTGAGTAAATAATAAACACAATAAAAGAAAAACACATTAACAACGTTGCCACATTTTTTCATGTACTGCACATGAGAACTTCATTTACTATTCAGTCCAACAGAAGCCAAGCAGGACTGAAGGTTTCATCTTGCTAGCAATGTAGACTGAACATTGATTGTGAATACCTTTTAGATACAAAGTAGGTGTTTATTCTTAATAAAAAAAGAGAATAATTTCAGTCTTTGCATTCATCTTAAGAGGTCTACTCTGTAATATCCTTTCGTATAAAAAGTAATTTATTAAAAATTGCAATCTTGAGGCATTTGATATACAAAATCAAAAATCAGATTTTAAATTAATGTCATAATCATATATCAAAATATGATAGTGTAATTAGATAAAAACATTCTTTTGCGATGAGTGATTTTAAAAATTCTGACACCTAAAACTATTATTTTCTTTAGTGAAGGGAAATTTAATCAAAGATCTGGATTCGGTGCTATTGTTAAAGTGACTGATAAACCAGATTCTTTGATTAGATTTACAATATCACCATGACTAAAATGCATGATATCAATATGATTTACAGCTACAATGTAATCTCCTACTCTTAGTCTTCCACATCTCTCCGCTGGACTATCTTCTATTAGCCGCCCTGCAAAATAGAAAAACCACACTAATCTCTAGGACTAGTCCTGTAAAGCAACGTGAAACTCACCTATTGTAGATCCAATTTTATTAGCAGACGAAATAATCACGAATCCAAATCCTTCGTTTTCGGTCCTTTGAACAGTAACTTCATACGTAGAAGGTAAATGCGAATTAGTTGGAATCAATGTCATGTTAACAGCTGACATTTGAGAATGACTTTCAACTGACCAATATGGAGTTCCTGTATTGACGTTTATATTGACAGGTATCTGTGGTGGTGGAGGATTGATGCGTCGCCTGAGAATTAAATTCACCTGCCCTCTAGTTGCCGCTGTGTTCATCAATTGTACTACTTGTCGATGAGACGCTTTTATCACTGAATAGCCATCCACGCTGACGATTTCGTCTCCTGATCGTATTCTGCCGTCTATATCAGCTGACCCTCCTGCTACTATATGTCCAACTGCCACCTAGAAGACCAAAAGTGTCACTACTAAATATACAACCTATAGCAGGCTATGATTTTGATTATTTTGCATTGGTTTCAAATTTTAAACTTGGCCTTGCAAGCGTTAAAAGTACAGTGCGCTCAGTTAGGCCAAAATTCGGCTACGACGGAAGATATGGTCCTAAAATTGTTTAAAGTGATTGTTGATTGAAGATGGTAGAGATAGCTGAGGCTGTGGGGATTTCAAATAAGCGAACACATAACATATTCTGCGAAATGTTGTAGTAGAGAAAGCTCTCCACAAGATGAATGCCGCGATTGCTCATATCTGAGCAAAAACTAATTCATATGAAAGTTTCAGAAGTGTTTTGGACGAGACTTGGGTTCACCATTACACACCGCAGTCAAGGCAATGGACAGTGAAGGGCGAACGAGTCCCAAACCCGTAAACGGTTCCATCGGCCAAAATGGTTATGGCGTCGGTATTTTGCGATGCAAAACTGATTTATTACTTTAAAAAGGGTAAAACAATAAATGGACAATATTATGCTAACTTACTTGATCAGCTACAACAGAAAATACTGGTAAAAAAAGGCTTGGATTATTGAAGAAAAAAAAATGTTTCATCGGGACAATGCGCCGTGTCACAAGTCCATTTTTTGTGATGGCTAAAATTAATGAACTAGGCTTTGAATCAGTGCCCCATGCACCCTACTCGCCAGAATTCAGTTTATTTCCAAACTTATTTCATACCTATATATAATAATAAAGTTAATAATTACCTGCGACTTATCTTCAATTCCTCCTATTATCCTGAAGCCAAAGCCCGTTTCTTGTCGATGCAATGTAACTGCGGTCGTCAAATATTCGACATTTTGAGACTGATACCACCAATCAGTTCCTCCATTGAATTTTTTCGAATTATCGTAGGCATCCATAGGGTCGACAACGGCTGACCTGGGATTGGAACAGTATGCGCAAGAACAGTCATACCTATGAGGAATCGGCGTATACAAACTAAATTTCGTATCTAATTGAGCAGGGTATTCACTCATGGTTTTGTTTTGGTTTTCAGCTAAATCTACATCATCTACATCCTCTTCTTGATTATCTATCAGCGATAATCTCAAGCGCGATCTCTCCGAACTGTTGATATTATCGTTCAAATAGTCGTGCTTAAACAGTTCATGATTAGAATTGGAATTGATATCCTTAATAGGAGTTTTTGATAAACCCCTAGTATCTACTAATGGCGTTTTAGGTCTACTAGGCAATACCTCACGAGTTTGAGTACTGTAAATATCCGCCGTAGGCGTTTTACTCCTATACGCACTGCCTATGTCTTTCCCATTAAACCGAATATCCAATTTTTTAGTCTTATTCCTAATACTGGGGGTCTTATTGGGACACCCCCGCTGTACACAAATAGTTGCCTCACTGTTATAAGAGCAATTCTTCAAAACTTGTACTACATCATCGTGCGACATACTTTGTAAAGAAATCTCGTTGATTTCCACAAGTATATCGCCTTCCATCAAGTTTTTACAGCGTTGATGGTCGAGAATTTTCTTCACCCTTTGTCCACAAGCGCTGTCGGCTATTGTAAAACCGAAGCCTAAATTACCCTTAACTATCCTTACTTTGACATCTATTTTACCAATAGAAACGTTCCCCATACCCTTCAAGAGATCATCTAGATCATTACTCGAATCTAGCATAGTTTTATCACTGTGCGAAATCTCTTCGCCTTCAATAAAATTATAATTAGTATCTACAAAAGATTTTTCGTTAGGGATAGGCTGTATATGAGTGTCGACGGCTATTGTAGTCACTACTTCTGTATTAGGATCATTGGGATCAAACGGCAAAGGGTATCCACGACAAACTTCTAAACATACAGTAGAACCTACACTTATAGATTGAAACAGTCTAACAATTTGGTTGTGGGTGTATCCCAAAACGCAGGTATCATTTACAAAAACTATAACATCTCCAGTCTGGAGCTGACCATCTAACCAAGCTGGACCTTTTGGTACCACAGACTTAATCTGAAGAAACTCATCGACATTATCATCACCGCCTACAATGGTGAAGCCTAATCCCCGCGAAGATTTAACCAAAGAGGTCTTAAAACGTTGCCCACATAGCTCTGCTGGATCTTTAGTGAACGAAGTTCTGCTGACTCTGGCTGATGATTGGGAAGCAGCTCTTTTCGCTTGAATTACGGGATTTTCATATTGGGTGCGACGGTTCACATGGTCTATGAAGTAGGTACCGTAATGGGGATCGCTAATTTTTTCCCATCCGTATGGCAATTCGTCGTCCATGCAGTCTTCTAATGTTTTCTTCTGGAACTTTGACAGCCTTGGATCCAGCCAATGGGAGGTTCCAGTTGAATGACTGAAATAAAAATTTGGCATAGAAGGAATGCACTCTCTTCTCTAAATTCAGAGGTCTAATGGGCAAAATATATTATCCACCAACTGTACCTTCTACTTATCACTAGACTAGACAGGGGAGTTCTCTCTATGTTGCTGTAGTGGTTGGACTTCTTCAGTGGCTTGATGAGAACGTTTTTAGAACACAAAATTACCAATAATATCATTTAAAATTTGTGTTTATTATTAGTCTAAGAAATGAACACAAAAAATCGCTGGAACATATTATTTTAGGTTGAAATGAAATTATTTTAGAAAACACTCAAAGGGAAAAAATAAACAGCACATATGACTGACTAGTTCACCGTCACTAAATTCTTATCACTTATTGTGTAAAAGTGGACAAAAAATCAATTACACAATTTCACCATTAAAATTGAGATAAATCAAAAATACAATAAACAATTACACCTAAATATAACTTTTATGATCAGACGAATTCCATCAAAAAACAAGGTGTCCAAATTCATGTTATTTTATATTGATTGTATTAATTTAATGGTGTTGAGTTTGATTTCTTAATATGAAAGATTACTACATTAGAGACTATAAAAAAACTTTCCCTTTTGTTTTGTTAATCTGACACATAAACTACCCTTTTACCAATGCAGTCAAAACATATTTACATTCTTAATTCATATTATAATTGGTTGAAGGTGAATCTGTAGGAAAAATAGCAAAGAACCAAATTTTTGCTTCTATAAAAAATGAATTTATTAAAATAAAGGAGCAGTTGAAATCAATAAATGTAAAATAGTAAAAAAAATGAATACGTAATCAGTATCATAATTTTTTATTAACCTCAGATTCTCAGTGTACATACATTTGACAAAAGTCCTGCATGTGTCCCTGTGTGCTTCTATTGCATCGATGGTCTAGCGATGCCCTCCTTGATCTGTCGACTTAATAGTGTCAACATACAGTAGTTCTAAGAGACGTTTTTGTTACTTTATAGTTCCTATTTCTATATCCCACCTTACCGGGTGGGAGGAAATTCATGACTCTAAAAGGTAAGTTCATACAGACAAGTTCCATTCAATCCTTTAACTCCAAACGACTCTTTTAGCGTTCGGTTTAGTCTGATTAGTGACAGTTCAACATGCTTATATGTCATTTAAAAGTACCCTAAAAAACTCCGCTCCTGTCCCGTTCCAGTCTCTGGCTAATCCGAACGCTACTAAAGTATTTTCATGTGTCCTTATATTAAAAAAATAATGACGAAAATAAAGAGTGTGATTAGCATTATGATAGGTATGTGGGAGCATCAGAATAAGAGATTTCTCAAATTTTAAAAGAATTTTTGATTTTTTTGTTTAAAATTGTTTATTTAAATGACTTCTATACACAGTTAAAAACAAGTATAAACTTAGGAATCACCCTGTGTCACAGATCGGCGATGTTTTTTCTCAAATTATCGTAGTCTGTGTAAGGGCTTCTTCCATCGTATCGAATAGAGTTGTGGACTGTAGTAAAAAGGTGATGAATCTTGTAGAAAGTCTTGCTGTTTGTGATTAAAAGGTGTCTGGGAATGCAGAAATTAAAGTACTTTGCTTATAATGATAACTGGTTGTATTTTATCTTCTTAAACTTTGAATTCAATAATTACATAACAGTTGATTGATGAAAATATTCTTACACAAAAAATCTTTTATGAATATATTATTTGTTTTAGTGTTTGTTAAAGTTGTGACTGTTTTGCATGGAGTTTCAAATGGTTCTCAAAAATGTCTTGTTGTGTCGAGTCTAAAAGTATGTGTCTTGTGATTGGTTTAAAGAAATGGTGTTAACAAATTGTTGAGCGAGCGCTTGCATTTATTTAACCATTTATTTTAAATGGGCTTATGCAAGTGAAATAGATCTGTGGGTGGGAGCAAGTAGGAGCTTATGTTTATTTGAGTAGGGTATTTTCCACAAAGTGAGAAATCTATATCTCGCCTAGGTTTTTAACTGCTGTGCTTGCAGCTTGTTGCCAACCAGAAGTTTTTGGAATACTTGGACATTCGTTAAAAGACATTTACAAGAGTTAGCTTTGATTTTAGTTTATTATTTATGTAATTGAAACATTATTTTTATTTTATGTAAAGGCTGTATGTCACGATACTAAATTAAGTACTAAATTTAGCACTAAATTAAGTTATTAATTTAGTACTAAATTTATAACTAAAAATTTTTTTTTTTCGTTTGCAACGATACCAATTTTTAGTACTAAATTTACTATAGGCGCACGCGCATTGACGTATTAATACGTGAAATTAACAGAGAAATTAAATATTCTGTGTAAAACAGACAAGTAAATGGTGTTTTTATTATCAATTTGACACTAGTTGACTTGACAACAACCAAATACAGCATAAAAACCACGAAAAAAACACAATAAAACCTACAAAATCAAACAAGCGAACTTTATTCAAGGCGATAATGTAAAATTGTCGCTAATTAAAAATAAAAGGGTACAGAAAATACCGTCGTGTCAACTTTTTCTATGAAAAACTTCTGCGCAACATTTCGGCGCATTTTTAGTACTAAATTTAGTAGAAAATAGAAAAAGATGTAATTAATTAATGACTTTTTTTAGTACTAAATTTAGTACTAAATTTGCTGTTTGCAACGTGAATTTTTTTAGTACTTAAAAAATGCATTAATTTAGTTCTAAATTTAGTACTTAATTTAGTATTGTGATATACAGCCTTAAGATTATTAAATTATGTAATGATAACTACATATTGAATAATGAAATATATTGTTCTTAATTATGTTAACTATACAGTATTGTTACATTACTTATTCAGGGGTGGATCATAAAGTAACTAAAAAAGAATAAAGCTTGTCATTTTTGAACACCCTATAAATGCATGGGGTTTTTCCATCAATAAAAAAAAAGTCACATGCTTTTGGCAGAATTTTATTTACTGAATATCCATATACAGTATACAGGTCATTTATTTGAATCTGTTGTGTTAAATCCCTAAAACTGAATAGACAGGTATACATTTAAAAATTAGATGGCAACATGGGAAATTAATTTATTTTCAAATATAGTACAATGGATTTTTAAAATCATTCCCAAGTCTAGCAACAGAAAGCAAGCACCTGTATAATAAATATGGTATAGTTTTAAATCTAATACTTACCATTGAGATGCAAAGAAGACAATACAGATAAATAAATAAGCAGAATTAGACTAGTAATAATATTAAGTATTTGTAACAGAAACTATATTGATAAACACAATATACAAGATTATGAGTAGTGAATCTCCATAACCATAACAAGGGTAAAATTAGTAAATATCTTATAAAAGCAATCCAAGGATTTTTATTTTACAATTTTGAACTGATTCCCAATTAATTTTCCTATCAGTTTACATTTTGTATTTGAATCAACTTCCACTAAAGTATGAGTAATAAATCATTACCTATTTATTTAAATTAATTGTTTGTGTTTTTTTTTAAAGAAATTAAATTAAATATACAGGGTGGAGAAGTGAATTATCCCACATTTCATCAGCTCATTGTGAAAAGAGTAAATATGGGCTAGTGGGGATGGACTCAAACCAGGAAGTTTCAGCCAGTACATATCTCAGTTGCAAAAATAATGTGGCAGAAGGAGAAATGCGCTTCTTGTTGAAATGTACTTTTTCCAAAATAGATCAATTTTTAAGGTAGAGTGTCTGATTTGTACTAGTTACCAAATTACTCCTCGAAATTCAGTTGTTAAGTTGGATTGAAAGTTTTCCACTCACAACAATATCTATTTCTGATTAGCAACCACCCTAATGACATGTACTCTTTTCACAATGCACTGGTGAAATTTGGGATAATTCCTTGTCCCACCCTGTATTTTTATGGCACATTTATCTTTAGGTGTATTAAATATTAACATAGTTTATAGTTTGTACTATTTTATTTTAAATTTTGTAGTATGTACGGAAAATTCTTTATAGGTTTATCTATTTAATGGTTTAAATGTTATACTATAGTAATGTAAAACTGAGAATAAAGTATTCTATTATCTTACTTACTCGATAAAGTAGACTTCTCCACTTTCAGTATAGGCTTTTTCCCACTTTGGAGGAAGAGGTCCGAGTGAATCAGAGTTATCATTGCTATTTCCATTGAAATTGGCTTCCTCTTCGAAGTAATTTTCTTCTGGATGTACAGGGTCGTCAGTTTCGACCCTCAGAGGTTGAGATAAGGGATTTTGTTCATTTGTGTGGCTCATAATATACACTGTGTATATAATTCATAAGTACAATGTAATTTGTATCTTGATTATATTTCTTCTGAGGGCTACATTTGGTATTAAAGTACTTTAGATCATATTCTACATATTCACGGCATTTCTATGACATTCCTTAAATGGAAAAGGAGTACTGACAGAAATTGAGGAAGTTAACGTCATTAGTTCACAACAACCTGAGAAAAAATGTTGCAATTAAATTAATGAAATTTTCAAATTCAATATGGTTTACCTCATTCTTTTTATACATCAATATGCTTGATATAAAATAGTTAATAGTCAAACGCAGTCAAAAAATATTAATGGTATTGTAAAATTAAACACCTAAAAAATAAAAACAAACAAAATATCCCCTTCTGACATTTGACGGTGTGGCCGTTGACACGATAAATGACAGGTTACAGGTGACACAAATGCGTTCGAACAACTTGATCTGCGGCTTGAGTCTTAAGTCCTATTTACAAGAAAGTCGGTGATCTTTGATGTGTCTGTGATCAACTGTTCACTCATCTAGTCATCTTGGTTATTGTTTGGTTGTTGTTTAAAATCACTTGGGTTGATGTTGATTAGTTGACTGTCTGGTCGGTTCTTTAAATTTAAAAATAATAAAAGTAATGGAGTTAATTTGGATAGTTCTCCTGCTAATACCAGTGATTTTACTTGCATTATACTTAAAACCTTTGCCGAAGAAATCAATTAAAGGAAAGCATGTTGTTATAATCGGAGGTTCAAGTGGTATTGGAAAAAGCACGGCAATCCTAGCCGTTAAATTGGGGGCGCACGTTACTGTTATAGCCAGAAATATTGAAAAATTGGAGGAGACCCAACAATTATTAAAAACCCACAGTGTAAATGAAGACCAAGTGATTAATAAATTATCAGTAGATGTTTGTAATTATGAAGATTTAGAAAACAATTTGAGCGAACTTGAAATGGTTGTAGGACCCATATATATGCTTGTCAACTGTGCTGGCATGGCTATTTGTGGTAATGTAGAAGATTTTTCTTTACAACAAATTAAACAATTAGTGGACATAAACTTTTTGGGAAGTTTATACTCTGTTAAAGCCATTGTGCCTAAATTCAAACAACGTAGAGAAGGAATTATAGTACTTACAGGCTCTCAAGTGTCTCTGATGGGCATGTATGGATATTCAATATATTCCAGTGTCAAATTTGCTTTAAGGGGTCTTGCAGAATCTCTTTATATGGAAGTTAAACCTTTCAACATTTCTGTTACTCTTGCTTTGCCACCAGATACAGATACTCCAGGATTTGAGAGTGAAAATAAGACCAAACCCATTGAAACAAAGCTTATTTCAGAAGTTGGAGGACTTGTTGATCCAGAAGTGGTGGCTCAAAAGCTAATGGATGATGCTTTGGTATGTATTTATCCATTAGTTACACTCTATTAAAAATAGTAATCTTGGGGAGATTATTATTACTCATTTATCAATTTAGCAATGTTTCTTAATAAAGTAAAGGATTCATATAACACAGATTTTGTTCAACAATGATAAAATTAAATCTGTAGGCTGGCTCACGAGCTACGAAGTGCCTATCTTCTCAAGAGGATGCACAATGGGCCTAATGAGGCCTAAGTGCCGTGGGGTAACCCACCCTCCACACATTACAGATACAGATGTGTTATAGCAATGTAGATTGGAAGAACAAAAAGCAATCTCAATGTAAAACAATAATATCCAAAGATATAAAATGGGTATATCACATTTTTTGTAGAAATTGGAAAAATACAGTTTATTTTATGTTAAATTGTGTATTTATATGTAAATGTGAAAATTATTGGCTTTGAACAAAGCTGGGGCTGTTAGTTTCTAGAAAATTATTTTTTAAAGAAATCCAGTTGCTGAAAGATTGTTCAGGGGTATGTTTGTGGATTATTGGTTTTGGAATTTTAAGAGAGAAGTCGGAAATTTTTATAAATAGATGAACTGGAAAAGTGAAATAAAAAAATGACAAAATACACATTTTTATATCTAAATTTGACAAATAAAATGAGAACCGGAATAAACAGATCATCAGAATAAGAGAATAAGTAGGGTATCAGCTAAAGGCCCCTTCAGTACACAGATACACACAGTAGCGTCTTAAAATAATATATTTTTTTATAAATTGTAAAAAACTATATTTTTAGAAATTGAAGCAGCCCCATATTTCTTTTGGTATTTGAAAACTCCAAGGGGGATTCAATATCAGTACAAATGTATATATTGTGACAATAAAAGATTACAACAAAAAAATAGTTATAATACTCATAAATGTATGAAAATTTTCATTTTTTTTACCTAAGTACATTTATTTATTTATTTATTTATTTATAAATTATGAATTTTGTAATTACACTACAATTGCAATTTTCTTAATTCATAAATAAATTAATCCTAAATAAATCAGATTTTAAAACGGACCTCTATAATCTATTTTTAGCGATGACAATATTTTTTTTAGACTGGAAAATTCTTCAGTTACGTTGGATTTGAATCGTTTATTTTGACAACTCTTTGCACCGGCATGAGTCCATTTAATAGGATGATCGATGTGGTTTTTGAATCAGCCTTGCTGGGCCTATTGAGAATCATAAGTGCTTTCTACATTAGCTCTTTTGCATCTATCATACAGAAGTGCCATATTGATAAAGAAGCTGTTAGCAAAAAGAAATAATTTTAAATTATGACAGATTGTAGGAACATTGTGTTTGGAATTTTATTTATTTCTAGGCTGTTCTTAATGATTACAACAGAAAAGTGTTAAAATTATATATTTTTGTTCCTTAATAAAATGTATATTTAGTTTTAAACAGTTTAGCTCTCATAATGGATCTCTCAGAGGATGTTATTTTTTAAGGCAGTCTTTTGTATTAAATGAGCAATATCTTTTGAAATTAAAGATTAAATGGATTCTTTCATATTACAAAATTACCTAGGAGATAATCAAATCTCTTCAAAATCATATCCTCTGATTGAGACCTTCCTTTTTGACAATATGCATAGTTTGGTTTAGAAAATGTAGATAATTTATTTTGATATTCTGAACCAGTGATAACTGTTTGAGATTTTTGGAATCATCAGATTTGGAACCAAACTATAAATAAATTATTTATACAATAAGACAATTTAACTACAGTATTGATGAACCAGTATATAGCAATAAAATTGCCTAATCGAGAGAATTGGTTCTTCTTTCAACACATGAATGTGTTTTTACCTATTTTATCCCCAGCCACAATAGTATTCTATTATCAAATAATTATATTTTGGCTGCGCCTACTTCATTCTTATATTAATGCACCAAATCCAGCATTTATGTACTCCAAAAGCCCTCAAGGCTACTATCTCTAGTAGTCATCCCTAAAGTTTCATTATTGGAAATTAAAAAAGTCACAAGGTGATAAATCCGGTGAATATGTTGATGTGGGACAACTCTAATGGCATTGAATTTAAAATATTCAGTTTGTGCATTTGTATATATTTATGGGGTCTAATTTGTACTAATAATAGTGTTTTATATATATGTGAACCAAAAATGCGTTTATTTTACCTACATATTTACTAGAAAAATAAGTAACATTTTGTAAACAATTTTTTCATGGATCATAAAAAGACTGAACTTTCAATTGATCTAGTTAAATAAATTTCTTAATTTTTTGGTGTTAATAATTATAATGAATTAAGGTCTTTGAGGCCACAAATGTTTTGTTATTAATTATATAATTGAAATAAAATGTGTATTGTTTTATTTGGGAACTTAGGCAGTGAAGTAGTTGTTATCACAACCACGTAGGTAGAGGTAATCTTGTAGTTTAGAGGCCTCTTAACGTGTATGTCTGCACTATTGCTGCTCCGACTCGTTCTACAATTAGTTGCCAGGGTTATATACTTTTACTCCATAGTAATTCAAAATTTAGAGTTTATTTTTAGTCCCTAGGGATTAAAAGTATAATATACTTTTATTTCCTAGGGATTACAAATTACTTTCAATCCCTGGGGATTAAAAGTTCAATGTACTCAAACTTTTTGCCTCCGCATTAAAATGTCACTATCATTTTTGAATAATATTTTAGATTATTTCGATGTATTTTTTTTTTGTGAAACAGATTTTCCTTGCAGTCGCAATTAAAAAAAATCTGGGATAAACTAAATATATACATTTTCCACATACATCTACCTCGAAACATTTTTCTATAGATATTCATTGAAAACGACAATACTGAAAAATTTAAATTTAGAACTTTTTCAACAATTTTTCAATTACGGTCCATTTTAGAAAAATCATGTATAAACAAAAATTATAGAGATCGATATCGCAAACAACTTTTAGTTCAACAATTTTCATAAAAATCAGAATTTTGCACATTTTGTCAAATTTCTCGAATACGGACCATTTCAGGAAATTTTGACATAAAGCAAAAATTATAGATAATAATATTAGAATTAACTTTTATTTGAACAATTTTTTTCTCCAAACATAAATAACAGATATATTCCATAGAAAATAAAAACGGCCTCCCATAAAGTACCCCCCAGATGTTCCGACTTTGTCCAAAATCTAATCATTTCACGTCAGGCCGAAATAAAACTTAAGTTTAAAATTTAATGTTTTTTCTTTATCCGTTTTTGAGTTTTCTTCAAAATTCGAAATTTACACATTTTCTCGAATACGGTCCATTTTAGAGAAATTATGTGTAGGATAAAAATTATAGAGAATTATATTACAAACAACTTTTATTTGAACAATTTTTATAAAAAATATTTTTTTTTACATTTTGTCAAATTTCTCGAATACGGACCATGTTAGGAAAATTTTGTATAGAACAAAAATTATAGATAAAATATTAGAAGTAACTTTTATTTGAAGAATTTTCTTCTCCAAACGTAAATAACATATATTCCATAAAATATAAAAATGACCACCTATAAAGTACCCCCCCCAGATGTTCCGACTCTGGCCAAAATCTAATCAGTTCATTGGACGCTGGAATAAAGCTTAAGTTTAAAATTTGGTGTTTTTCTGTGTATCGGTTCATGAGTTATGGTGGATACAGACACACACCCACAGACATTATCGCGAAAATAGTCAAAACGGATTTAGGGGACCTCAAAACGTAAAAATTTGTCGAAAACTCGAGGTCGAAAAAATTCATGATTCCTATACTTTTCTTATATCTATACAGGGGGTCAATTCTCGACTTGTAGGAACTTTTTCCTATAGGAATTTGTGACCCTTTTCCTATAGGAATTTGTGACACTTTCCTATATGTAGGAAAATGTCATAAATTTTCGATGTATAGAAAAATGTCAAAAATTCCTATAGGAAAAAATTCCTACGAGTCGAGAATCGACCCCCAGATAGGAAAGTAAAAAAAAAAATAATGGAAATATTGCAACGCTGCATGTGTAATTAAAATTCAAATCTTAAATGAGGTTTGTTTAGCAATGGATTCGAGAATACTGGCCTACATGAGTTCGGCAATTTCCAGGCTGTTAAGCGACACAAGACTAGATTTTATGCATGTTGAACTATTACCAAGCGTCCGCATGCGATTATAGAAAAATTAATGGCAAGCGGTATAATTAGACACAGAAAAATAACTAAATAACTTTAATAAGCGATATAAACACACTTCAAATCGTTGAGAATACAATTATAACTTTCTAACGGCCATATGCACCATTCTTCTGTTAATAGTTATCAGAGAGTTAACTACATAACCGACTGTTAAATTGACAATTTTGTATTCACCATTACAAAATATGGCTACCAATCTGTTAAATGCGTTGTTAATGTAACAAACCAAATTTGGCCTGTTAATTTTACTTACCAGACTGTTTTATTTTTTCTTGTTTGTTTTGAAGGGTTAGATAAGGTTTTATTAAATAATAGGTATGGAGAGGTTAAATTTTGATTTAATATCATCATCATCATCATCGGAGAGTGATGTTGAAATTCCACGAGTTCGAATGGTGAGGCCAAGAAATAATTTAATTGAAGAGCTTGATGAAAAAGACTTTAAAATGAGATTTCGTTTAAATAAACAAACAGTTCGGGTACTGGCAGATTTATTGGAAGATATTGAAGAACCCACCAATAATAGAAACCAACCAGTATCAAAAATAAATAAAATTTTAATAGCCCTCAGATTTTATGCCACTGGGACATTTGAAATCAACATAGGTGATTTGTTTTTTGTTTCACAATCTACAGTCTCAAGAATTATTTATGAAGTGACAAGAAGCATAGCAGCACTTCGTCCCCGTTTTATTAAAATGCCAGAAACAGATGAAGAAAAAAGTCAGGAAGTTTCATCATTTTACCGTGTGGCTAGGTTACCTGGTGTTATAGGAGCACTAGACTGTACCCATGTAAAAATTTTATCTCCAGGAGGAAATAATGCAGAGGTGTACCGTAATCGAAAGGGCTGGTTTAGCATTAATACCCAAGTTGTTGGTAATGCAAATCTACAAATTATTGATATAGTGGCTCGTTGGCCTGGCTCAGTCCATGACACAACCATTTTTAATGACTCTCTAATAAGAGTCAGGTTTGAAAATAATGAGTTCTACCCATATATTCTCATTGGAGATGGTGGATATCCTTGTAGGGTATATTTATTAACACCACTAATAGATCCTCAAACTCAACCTCAGCAAAGCTATAATACTGCACAAATTCGATCAAGAAATACGATTGAACGTTTATTTGGAGTATGGAAACGAAGATTTCCATGCTTGTCATTAGGGATGAGAATAAAAGTGGAACGTGCATGTGAAGTTATAGTAGCAACTGCAGTTTTACATAATCTTTGTAGGCAAGAAAATGATATAATAGACGATTTGCCAGAAGTAGATGCAGACATTGCTAATATAGGGATAGTGCATTATGACCCTCCTCTACGACGAGATGAAAATACAGCTACTAGAGACTCCTTAATAAACACTATTTTCCAATAAATAAAAAAAATTCAATTAAAATGTACCTGTCTTATTTTCTTATTAAAAAACATTTATTTTCTTTACTCAAGTTTTAATTTAAACTGAACAAAAATATTTTTATTTGAACACAATTAAAATAATCAAACAATAACAAACCAGCATTCTCTGTACATATTTTAAATATATAATATATAATAAATATATAAAAAAAAACATTTATTCTAATAAAAAATATCGCAGTGAAAATACAAAACAAACTTATAAACTAAAGGAACACAATACAAAAAATATCACTTTTTGTGAGATCAAAACTATAAAAACAAAATAAAAAACTAATAAAAATAACACAGAGAGACAGATAAAATATTTAAAATCTAAAACTAAGGTTAAATCACTGATTTAATAAGAGTTTCTCATACTCTGCTTGTTTAATTTTTAATTCGATAATGTTTCTTTCTTTGACAATTTCTTTAATTTCATTATCCAACTTTTTCCCTTTCATTGTTTCTATCTCACTTTCCTTAACTAGGTTTAAAATGTCCATTTTTTTCTTTAATACTTCACACTTTTTGTTTAATAAAACTGAAGCATGAGATCTTCGAGTCTGATTTGTAGCAGGCGATCTCAGAGTCTGATTTGTAGCAGGAGATCTCCGAATCTGGTTTATACCAGGTGCTTTAATAATATTTGAAACCAATTTTTGTTTTTTTTTTGGAGGTTCCACAGTTTCATGAGCATCGTTATTAATACTATTCATATTATTTTCGTCCACATTTTGCAGAGGCGAATCAGCCCTAATAGAAACTGGGAACGTATCTATTGAACGAGAGTCTTCTCCAGTACCTTCATCTACAATAAAAATAATATTTTCCTCTTCTTTATTATAGTTGCTGGGTCCAGGTTCTATAACGGTCGAGTTACTATCAAACCTATTCTCTATGGAAAAATAATTTTCCTCCAATAACCCTAAAATTTTACTATCAAGGTAGGTAGTGTTTTCAGTAAATTTTCCACCTCCTGTTTTGTGTAGTTCGACCTAAAACATTTAAAGTTCTCTTAACTATTATAGTAATATTATTACATAGGGGTTGATAAAGGAAAAGTAAATTTCTATCTATGAACATAATTTACTAATAATTTTAAAGATACCTTGTCCTGGGCTTTGTGTTGCTTTGCATTTTTTTTCATTTGCTCATATGTACTCCTCAATTGCAGGCCGGTTCGTAAACCACTGGTTTGATTGGCGTTGAAATCCCACGCCAATTTCTCCCAGCATTCATTTTTTTGTTTATTATAAACTGCATTAGTTTTTTTATTTTCGATAATGTGCAAGTTTTTTTGTACCAAGGAAATTAAAAATTCCTTTTCCCTCTCAGTTACATTGGCACTTCTTTTTCCTTTCTCCATTTTTTAAACTAGAAACTTACTTAAAAATACTTAGAAACGAATGACAATATAAAAAAATTAAAAAATCCCTAACCTAATAAACATAAATCGCAACATACCTAAAGTTAGGTACGAATGGCAGCCAACTTAAAAATACAGTAATATTTACGTATCAGTCTGATTTCTAACTGAAGACGGTAAACAGATGGTGCATAGCAAATTCTGTTAACACACTGTTATTTTTTATACTACTGTTAACTAACAGAGGATTTAACTGGACAATGGTGCATACGGCGGTAAGTATTTATCAATAAAATGATGCATATGCAACTACCAATACAATAAGGTAATATTGGTTTTCTAGATGTCAGTGATGGCTTACCAAAATACAATTTTATAAATATTCTACTCAAAATTAGATAAAAATATTGTATGTAACACGATACAAAATGCTGTATCATGTAACTCGTTCATGTTGCAGGACCTCGCTCTGCTCGTCCCGCAAATATTCACTCGTAACATAAACTGAGGCATTTCGTAACTGATTTCATAAATAGCTATTTTTACGGCTAAATACTAACTAAAAGATGCTAAAAGTATTAGAAAAAGAGATAACATCGCCCAGTAAAACCCTCATTTCGTCGTCCGATTTACATATGGAAGAGCAATCTATACTAGTATATATAGCATTGGTTTACGTATGTCAAACGAACAACGGCGAATTGTCATTTCTTGACAGTTACAACTGACAACTAACCACAGAAATAACGCGTCAGAATTGCCGCATCAAATGTGAAATGGGCTTATCTTTTAACCATGAAGAAAGGTAAATAAACGTCAAATTTTGTTGGTCTAGAAATGTGTTCTGTAATGGATGGATGGTGGTATTTGTAAAAACTGTGATCAGTGATGGTGTCTTAGTGTTTTTAGGCATTGAAGAAACTTTTTTTTACAAAATTATGGACTGTTTTAACGACTTTCAACTCGAAACATTATGATTTTCAGGCTCTATGACCGCAGACGAAAAATCAAATTTCGTACTGTCGGTTTGGACTCATAATTGGCAATCATTATATTTGCATATCCCAAGACCATTATATAAATAATGTAAGTTTGAAAGCGATGTGTTTTAATTGAAAAATAGATGTTCGCCTCCCCAATCTGCGAGATAGAAAAATAAGTATCACCCGTTCACGGGGTTAAGCTATCCCAAGTCATCATACACACTTGTGGGCACATTATCAAAATGTCAATGCATCAAAACATTTTTATTTCGACGAGTTTTTAGAAATAATTAAGGACATATTTGCTAAAAGTTTATGTATTGGAAGTAATTTAATTAGCAGTGCATAGTTAGATAAAGTGTCACAGTAAAGATTTATGATGTAAACATGGAAACATATATAGATATTTTTTATATACCTAATTGCGAAACTGAATAACAACTAGTAAGTATATTAATATTATGTTTATGTTTAGTGTTAATGCTCAAAATGTTGATTGTTAATTTTCAGGATATTTTGATTTTGCAATTATAAGAAACAATGTACTTACTGACTCAATCAAAACATACAGAAATTGACTATATCTGAGTCAATTAGTACAACAAATACCAATTAGTAATTGTATATTTTTTTGTAATCACAACTGACTGAAGTGTTTATTCAAATTCCATGTCATTGCACACAAATTTGTTGATAAATTAGCTCCTACATCCTTCTACAAATGTTTTCCATTCATTCACATTCTGTTAATACCGTTTCGTATATCATATTTTCCTCTACGATGAATTAGAAATTCATAAAATCCAAAATAACTAACTCTAGATGTGCTGAACGGTCTGATACATTCACCAAAATTTAGATTAAGAAACTAATTGAAGAGCTGTTTAACAAACAATTACCAGAAAACATTTTATCTTTCCAAATAAATTTTAAGCTAGATTATTAAGGTAATCTGGCTAGAATAAATTAATTTTTGAATTGCTTCTAAATTTTACTTGAAAGGCAATCTGTCAATTCATTTCAGTTTTTTTATTAAGTATATTTATTTGTTTCTCTTGTTGATAAGCATATTAAAATGTATTTAAGCTAAATAATAAAATTATTATTTTTTGTAAACAATACCACTTGTAAAGTGTTAAATAAATAAGTTAGGTCTAAAGGAGGCTCTAAATGAATATCAAATTTAACAATTGTCTAATATCTAAATTAAAGTTACATACTTAGATTTTATCATGAAAACATGAGTTGGATTCTTAATTATTTTATGTTTATGTGCTTATTCCATACCAATGATGATTAATATAGAAACATCAAAAAAATCTTTTAAATATTTACTCAAAAATTAAAAACAAACATTTAACAAAATAATCTCTAAGAACAATGTTAATCTTTCATATTTTCTGATTGTTATTATGCTCATTATATTGTTTAGTGAATTTATAGGAAAATAAACAAAAACATGTAAGCACAAATGAGTTGTTTGTATGAAATTTAAAACAAGCCCTGAGAAAAATCATAAATTTGTAAAAAATGTTCTTTCTTGGAAATTAAGTAATTTATTTCTGCTTGTTCTTATTGATTCTATTTGGAAAAGAAACATGTTTTGAGTTAGTAACACCTATTGTGTCAATGAACTTTAATATCATTAGCATAAATAAATGTCATGAATTTACATTATTGTGTTTATGTCCATCTCATCTAGAGTTCTCATCACATTAGAGATGCATATGTGCATGTCTTACAAAATATATGACACCTTAATGTACAGTGTACACAGTTGTATTGTATTGACAGTACAATCCACCATTACATGGGCATTACACTTTGCATTTGTTGCAAGGACATGATCTGCAATATACTCAACATAGCACACTAATGGGAACTGTTGCTTATTCATACGTATTAATTTAATACGAAAATAAGTATGTACGGTTATAGATTATGTTACTGACATGGGTATTGCTAAAGTGACGTCACTCGTTCCTGTCATACAATTATTGTACGACTCATACTGTATGACACAATTTGGTGTACTGTATGAAATGTACTAGTACAATTAATTGTACTTGCAATAAAATATTACCTTGAACATGCTCAGCACAAGTTTTTTAAATAACTTCTCTTATCTCCAATATTTTATGACACCATAGAATATTTATCACATGTTTGGTCTCAGTACAGTATTATGGTGAACATGCTCAACACAAGTTATTTAAATACATTGGTTATAATTTCTTATATCTCTAATATTTTATGACATCAAAGCTTCAAAATAAATTGATTATTCCACCTCTTTTTTATTTAAGTTCATACTAGAAACAACCTGAATAACTGTATGCTTTTATGTTGTCAATTATTGTAAAAAATGTACTGAGGACATTGTTATAAGCCTTAAGTTTTAATATCAAACATGTATTCCTGCTACTCTAATTGAATGTTCTAATAATTCCAGGTCCTAGCCACAGATTTTTCTCAAAGAGTCCTTTAGGTACATATTTTATTAATTTATTCAAATTGAAAACATACTATGCAGATACAGTGATTGCCTTTGTAGAGAAGATTATATTTGAGCATGGTCATTATCTTTCAAATTGTTGTAAACAGAATACAATAAATTTATCTTTAGAAACCAGGAAGTACATGGTTATGTGATTAATGATATTGAATAATTTTCTTATCTATAATATGTAGTATAAATTTAAAATACATTACCACTTGAAATTTTTGGCAAATTTTACATGATCACAGAAAGAGCAAAACACCACAACCTTAAAATAATTTTAGCAAAAATTATTTTTACCAAAAAATATTTTTGTTCATAAAATGTTATATTACTTAATATATAGTTTTTTAATTACACAGAAATTTGTAAACAATTTATTGTTTGAACTAGGTAATTTTGGATAATTACAATTGCTGCATTTGAATATCTACATCTGATGCATTTTTTATATTTCTAGCATTTGTTTATCCACATCGGACATATCTACTACATCTGCATTTGTTTACCCGAGATGTAGCTGTCCAGATTACATTTTTTACATCTTGATTTGAAATGAGATGTGAATGAGATGTTCGTGCCATGTCAGAAAATAGGAGTTCTGTGAAGCCAAGTTTATCGATTTTTCCTTTGTTTATGCTAGCGTGAATATAAAAGTGATTAGTTTATTTAATTTTTTAGATTTCAAATTAGGTTGATTTCTAGTCTCAAAAATTAAAAGCAAAAAGTATAAACTTCTAACTTGTCATTGTCATTTTTACTACATCTAGAGCGTTTGTATATTACATCTACATTTAAATCTAATCCTCTATCACGTGATAAAAAATTCACATCTCAGCTGCATTCGATGTGGATATTCAAACGCAGCAAATATAGTACTTTTTTTTAATACTTTTATACATAAACAACAAATAAATTAAAAATTTACTGTAAGTAATAATAGCTACCTTATCTCCTACTCAATAGCAATATAGGAAAACACTAAAAAGAATATCATAACATCACTTGGATAAATAATGAGTATTTAGTATAGTATATACAGTGTGTCTACTAAAGTTGGAACCATATGGAAAACTTTTTTATTATTGGTTTTGTGAAAAAATTTATTCCAGATAAAAAGTACTGCATGGTCCAAAACCATCAGATATCAATTTTTTTAAGCTGTATACGAGTTTTGCCAAAAAATATTAATTTTACTCAAGAATAAAGTACCATTATGTTTTGCAATACAGAAGAATGTTATAAAGTTATTTTGAATTAAAAGTTATATTAAAATATGCCATTTAGCATTAAAATTCAGGTTTGGTGATTAATTAATACCTAACCTGAATTTTCATGCTAAATGACTGTAATTGCATATTTGAATATAACTTTTAATTCAAAATAACTTTACTTTATAATATTCTTCTTTATTGTAAAAAATAAAGGTACTTTACTCTTGAGTAAAATTCATATTTTTAGACAAACCTCGTATACGGCTTAAAAAAAATTATATCTGATGGTTGCATTTTAGGTTTCGGATCATGCAGAACTTTTTATCACGAATATATTTTTTCATAAAACCAATAATAAAAAAGTTTTCCATATGGTTCCAACTTAAGTAAAAATTAACATTTCTTTCAAAGTTACATTAGAACTATTTTTAGAAAATTAGGTCTAATGTAACTACACAATTTGAAAGAAATATTACAGGCTGTTTAAAAGTTATAGGGAAATGAAAGAAATAAGTCATAAAACATCCATTTTTAGGATATATTCCCGATTTTGTAAGTGTTGCAATATTGGTATAATGTTCCAGATTTCAAAATATGGCCCTAATTACACTGACATCACCACTTTATAAATTTACTCCAATTTTGCATTTAAAAAATTGCCCTTATTATTACCGCGATTTTTTAGAGATCCCAAATTTCCATTTCTTGTCCCAATTTTCTAAACATTTTCTGATCTGTCAAATTTGACTACTATTACCCACAAATTATGCTATAAGGAATTTTTTTTTGTATTTTGACAATTTGAATTTGTAATCCTGTGCTGACCAATGACCACCTTGTTTGAGTAGTTCTGTTCTCAAGTGACAAAATATGTTTATCTTTTATGTCTGGCACTGAAGACATGGGTCTTTAGGGCCTGTATTGTTGTAATATATATCTGGTAATGAGGCGAACCTCTAAAACATGTAATAAAGAAAGTGTAAGACAATTAATATTCTAGATAAATCATCACGGAAGAAACAATGGCTCAAGTAGTTAGCCAAAAGCGCGGCAGAGGCACCAGCACTGGTGAGACCTCGACCGCCTCATCAAGCTCCACAAACCAACTATCTGCCTTAAACACCGCTCCAGGAACCCTCACAGATGAGCTAGCCGCGCTGTTTGAGTGTCCAGTATGTTTCGAAGTAGTTTTACCTCCTATTATGCAATGCCAAGTGGGTCATCTGGTCTGTGCCAGTTGTCGACCAAAATTGTCTTGTTGTCCTACTTGTCGTGGTACCTTAGGTAAGTAAATTAATTAACAGATTGTTCTGACAGAATCACATAAAAGTCCATAATCTTCTGACATAAACAGCTAGAGGCTGTGATAATGACCATTAAAGCATACTTTTTTGTATTCAGGTAATATACGGAATTTGGCTATGGAAAAAGTGGCTAATAATCTAATGTTTCCTTGTAAACACAAATCCACAGGATGTAGAATGTCCCTAGGTCTTAACGAGAAGGCAGAACATGAGGAAATCTGCGAATTTCGTCCCTATAGTTGTCCTTGTCCCGGTGCTTCATGCTCTTGGCAGGTATGAACAAATTTACAAGGATAAGTTTAGCTAGAAAGTAATCCATTTCATTTCTAGGGCCAACTAGATAAAGTAATGGTGCATCTTCAGCATGCTCACAAAAACATAACTACACTTAATGGTGAAGACATTGTCTTTTTAGCTACAGAAATAAATTTAGCTGGTGCTGTGGATTGGGTCATGATGCAGAGCTGCTTTGGCCATCATTTTATGTTGGTTTTAGAGAAACAAGAAAAGAATGATGGACACACACAATTCTTTGCTATTGTTCAACTTATCGGATCGCGGAAACAGGCCGAGCATTTTGCTTATAGGTAAGTTACAGCGCGAAAAAAAAAATTACTTTGGTTCATAATAATGAACAATTTCAGGTTGGAGCTTAATGGGAATAGAAGGCGGTTGATTTGGGAGGCTGTGCCCAGATCTAGCCATGAAGGTGTAGCGTCAGCAATTATGGGCAGTGATTGTCTGGTTTTTGATAATTCCATTGCACAACATTTTGCAGATAATGGAAATTTAGGTATCAACGTTACCATTTCTTCAGTTAGTCCAATGAAAAATCAAGCACTCTGTCTGTTTCATTAGCTTTTTGCATTCGCGAGTTTGCTGGACCTGCAAAAAGCTGACTGTTTTGTATCGTCTTTTGTTGTTTCTTAAATTTGAAGCATTCTTTGCCTCGATAGTTATATGTGGGGTGTTAGTGATAGCAACTGCATAATTTTAAAATGTGATTAAAAAAAGCTTCATATAAATTATTATGCCCTAAAGTTTAAGGTTTTATTTTATATTTATTTTATATATATTTTAAATTTATTAATTTTTGGGTAAGTTTTGTTTAGTAACTTCCATGTTAAAAAAAAAATATTGACTTTAGGATAAAAATATATAACGCTTATTTTTTTGGTTCATTTTTGTTTCTTAATGATCTGTTAAAAATTATGCTGGTGTTATTACTGTATACATCATGTATAGTGTCTCGAAATCATGGTACATCATTTAATGTCTTTATTTTATAAACAGGTATGATATTTCAGAAGTGATGGTGTGGCTAAAAACTTCTTTCTGACGAGTCTTATATGTTTTTAATTTATTTATCTTGAATAATTTTTTTCACAAAATTTTTCAGTGCAAAGTATCTTTTGAATTATTGGACTGCAATGTTGTATACTCGTTGCAATCAAATTTAGGTTCAATTATTTTAAAACCAATTTGTACTTTTCTATTAAAAAATATTAGATGATGTACCGTGAATTTTGTTCTATTTTTATATTAATTTCTCTTGATTATTAATAATTTGATAAATTTGTTTTCTTTAAAAAAATTGTACATTTTTAAAAATAATTAAAAGCTTGGTATTTGCGTCGTTTGGGTTTGTGATTAAATTTCAATATACATCTAATGAGCTTAAAATAGTTTAAGCTTGTACCGTTTTTTTTTTTTTCTAAAATATTGTTGAAACCATAATTAAGGTGGTTTAACTTTTGAAGAAGCTTTGCAGGGAAATGACATTCATTGGTCCCTCGTGCATGGATCAAAATAATTTTGTTGTGTTTGCCTAGTGGCTTGAGGCATCATTAAAGCATAATGACATTATTAAACATTTCCGCAATATCAGGTAATATATTATGAAACGCCCTCTGTTATAATTCAAATTTTGATATTTTTGACAATAATCAAGGTTTTTTTTGATATTTTTATTGTACTTTTGCGGCTTTTGATTGAAAATATTTTAAACTAACTTTTTTGTTCAGCTGCATTGACTGATGTATAGTATTGTTTTAAAATAATTTTACCTTGGACTCATTTTCCCTTAATTTTCTTTGATACATGCAAGAGTTTTATACTCTTATCGACAACAACATTCTCAAATACCAATTGCTTCTGTTTAGTTTATAAGGTTTTGTTATGGATTTGAAACGGGGCTGGTTTGCTACACCTTTTAAACGATTATCTGCTTTTTGGCAGATCAATTTACAACTGGGATTAATATACTCTTGTCTGAATTTAACCATTGTATTTAGATAGCCTAGTAGAACAACCTTGTGGACGTTTCATTGGAGGTAATCCTGTCGCGACATCTTTTAGAACAAGTACACAACTTCATCAAAATATCCCGTGCGCTTAAATAAATGTACATCAAAAATAATAAAAAGCATGTATCTTATTTTTAAAACAATTATTCTGTTCATACTTAATCTATTAGTAAATAGAGAAATTACGTTCGTTATTAAGTTTCAACAACCATTCGATGGTTTTGTAGAAGACGACAAAATTATGAGTCATGACTTGGACACGATGGAGCTTGCTGCCATCTATTGCTACTGTCCATTTCCGTCCAAGATAATTTCCATTGACATTGTTCTACTAGGCTATCTAAATACATACAATGATTATAATATCTTATATTTTCCAACGTTTTTCCAAATAACGCATTAATCAAATTTGATTTTATATTTAAATTTTTATAATTATTTTCGATTAAAGAAAATTATAGAATACTGTTGGATCTCTAAATTTCAAAAAGTTCTGCAAGAATTGTGTTTAAATTCAGAAAGTGTATTATCCTTATTACAAATAATAACCAGTTTTCTCCTACTGTAAATTTCACTTAATTAATGTGTAAGACTGTGAAAAGACAAGTCCCTTTGTCAGAAATTGTCAGCAGTTGCGATCTTAATTGAAGCTGATGCAAGGGGTTTTTACACATACACTGTATGTTTGGTTTTATCAATGTAAATTACAGTAGAGGAAATTGATAGGATATGAAACAAACACATTACAAGAACACCAATAACCCTTAGGATGCTATTTTATATATATTCCCTACGAAGGTTTGTTGTAATTAATATTTCTATTCTACAGGGTGAGCTATAAATATTGAGATATAGAGTAAGTGCAGGTTTTTTGGACCTAAATATGAGAATTGGACCAAATATGTTTCGTTTTTTTGGTAATAAATTCACAACATATTCATAATTTATCAAAATTGGCCCAGAGGTATAATTTTAGTGAGTGAATAAATATTAACATCACATAAGCGATTTTTGATAATGAAATTTGGTCATACATTTTCTAAACGAAACATTTTAGTTATTTTTACTTATAATTTCAACTGTGTTCTAGAGAATCGCAATTGAACACTTCATAAGTCTCTAAAAGTGCTTTCAAATGACAAACTTGTAACTCTGAATAATAAACGAAATAACAATCTCTAAGTAAACGTTCTATGTGGGCTCCTCTAAAGTGGCGTAACCAGAAATTTGTCATGGAAGGGTTCCATCAGTAAAGTCAAATATTTCAGATATAAAAAAGTAAATAAAAATAAATATTTTTTTGTAATACGATTAAAACAAATATAATACATAACAAATACAATTACTTCGTAAAAATATCACGAAATCAATAATAATAGAGTTCAGTTTTGGTAACTTATTAATTTAAAAGTAATCTCTTTTTTTATCAAGGACTTAAGTTGTGTGGGTTCTAACCCTAAAACATATTATTACACCTATTCTAATTATATTCTGTCCCCTAACAAAATTAACCACATTTTGTATTTTTTCCCAGAGTTCATTTCGTGAAGGAATTTCATTGGCTTAAATTAAGGAGTTTATACATATATAGAAAGCGTAACAGGCCCAATGCAAAATTTTTAATTTTCATCAATTTTTTATATCCTTGACAGATATCATTTGTCATTGTCAAAGTTTCACAATTTGCAGTTACTGTGGATCTTATTACAATCTTATATATCCTGATTTTGGCTTTAATGGATACCACTTTTGATTGCTCAGCACACATTGTTCCTTTCTTTAGTTTAGTTTCGATTTCTTAACTTCTCCCGTTTTCAGTAAACACATTGGCAAGATAATTAAGTTTTCCTCTATAATTCTCACCTTTACATGCCCCCAAAAATATTGGGTTTTAATCAGGACTTCTTGGGGGGTCATTCAAAGTCATTTTCTTTGCCAATCCATCGTTCAGGAAATGTATCATTATGTCTAACCACACTCCTGCATACATTGAATGACAATTCAATGAAGCCAGAAAAAAAATTATGCACTCCCAATAAACGACATTTTTCTCGAAAATGGATGAATTTATCAAGTTTAAATAAGTATTACAATTTAAGATAAAAATTTGCTTATATCATCTGTAATGTCTGAAGGGTGGGTTAACCCACGCCAATTAGGCCCATTGTGCATCCTCCTAAGTTGATAGGCAGCTCCTAGCTCGTGAGCCAGCCTACAGATTGAAGGTAGTTGATAACGTTGCCAATGTTTATATTATTTTCTAATTAAAGTTAATAAAATGTTTCATCAAAAAGATATATCATCAGGAATCGCCGATGTAGCTCCTCCTGTAACAAAATGTAAAATAATAAATAAAATAATATCCCTTTCCTAAAGTTATGCATCTATGCCAATTTCGAAAAAAAAAACTAACTTTTTCTCAGCATGTTTTGGTCCAATCCTCATATTTTGGTCCAAATAACCTGAATTTACACTATATCCCATCGATTATGACTCACCCTGTATAAAATAAACATTGTATATTTTTTTGTTAGAAATGCCTGGCTCTTTACTTGGGATACATTTCAACTTAAACGCTAAATTCGGCATGTACCTCCCACAGACATATTGTCTATCCAGTAATGGTAACAATAATTTTATACAGATGCCTTTTTAATCATTTAGCGTTCAAGTTATTTTTTTTAATCCGGGATATTTTTTTATATGTAGTAATCATCCCACTTAGGCATTAACTAACTATTGTGATATAAAAGTACAGTTAAATCATAAAAGTTTTTAATTTTTCATACAAAATAATTATAAATTTTTGTATATCTTAATTCCTGTTTTGTAAATTATTTCTATAATTATGAAAAAATGTTTCATGCTAAGTACTCAAATTCCTGATCTGGATTTTATATATCTCAGAATCTCATTAGAAATTTTAGCAGACTATTCTCCAATTGCATCTGATTCGTTTCTAGCTAGTGTTGCATTTCTATTATCAGCTTACTAGGGAGACCCCTATTTCAACTTCAATCACTTTCTTTTATTGTTATTCACCAATTTGCACCCAGAAAATTTACCCAAATTGGAGTTAAAATATTACTCTGTTATTCCGTGATTTCAGCACCTTCATTGTTGTTTTGCTGCTTGTGTGAAAAAAAAAATGCACAAGGTAATTCAAATGAAAGTGTGCTTTGTCTGTAAAATAATTTAATGTCATTGAATTCATTTACTTATAGGCCTAAAAGTTTTAAACTCTTAGACCGTTGGCCCTTTGGTACCTATTCCCCAATTCCAATGCTCTCAAACTTTTAAAAAAGTATTGAAAATCTATATATGGAATTTGAGTCACGAAGCTTTTCTTAATTATAAACAAGTTGTCTGAATGTTACCTCTAAATTTGAACCAAGTAAACGCATAACATACTAAATTTTTAATTTTATTCGCACCTAATGCACGCACGGGCAAATTTAAGAGAACGAGCAATATTTTTATTAGACATTCTCTTTAAAGTTTTCATTTGATTCCGATAACTTTTGTTTCGTCCATAAATTATTGGTTTTTTAGTAATTTTTAAAACACCCTATAGAGTTAACAACGAAAAACTAGAAACGTTTTCGAATACCGAGTCACAGCCTGATCTTTTCTGAACATTTTCGTTTTTTATTCACTCTATTAATAAAATACAAGGTTTTAAAAATGTATGCAGAAAAATTTAATTTTATTTGAACAAAGAAAATAACAATTTTTGTATCATCATCCACGAACTCTTATGACAGAAGCCACCTCTCCTACTTTTGATGACGTTATCAATAATCTCTTGAGGCAGATTAGTCCAAATCTAATCCAGAGCAGCTCCCACTTGCTCGATATTTTGCAAACCAGGAATTTTGGACTATAATCGTTTGTCTAGCGTGTCCCACACATGTTCAATCGGATTAAGATCTGAGGAACATGCTGTCAAAAAGTTCGAGAGTGTACCTTGTCGTGCATTAGAACAAAGTTTTCCCCCGAAAAGCACTACATACTCTTGCAGAACATCTCCTTTTCAA